TCTCTGGGAGGACCCCTGGACGCCATTTCAGCTGTCGCACCTCCGGGGATGTGGCTATTAGTTCTGAGCTGTGTGTGGATTTTGTCTATTTTGGACACATGTATTCAGGACACGTTTGTTGTCTGGGACCAGAAAAGCAAGGGAACAACTCACATCGTCAATTTCAACACAATTCGAGGTAGGCCATCAGTTAGCCTGGGAATGCTTGAATACTGAGTAGAGAACAGCCTGAACTATTGAAAGTCCAGATTCTTGGCGTTCAGCTCTGGAATACGTGTAGATTAGATTAGATTAGATTATACTACAGCCGTTGCACTGTTCATGGAAGCACTGCAGCATGGTAGCACATCCGAATACCGACTAACGTTCAGTTTAGCTCCCTCAGTCAGTGCAAGGGCTTTGTTATCAGACTACTAGTAACGTTATGTGTGAACTTCAGCTGTCTGAGATTTTCCAGTGGACCCTCTATTTGTACTTCCTTATTAGAACTATCATGCATTATCCTGTCAGATTCCGAGCAACGTTCACCCAATACAGGTAACAGAACTTCAGAACTACTATGAGCAACATTCACCCAGTATAGATGACAGGATTTGTGAACCAAGTCTACAGAATAGACAATCTAGTCTGCTGAAGTATTAGCAGATAGTGCAGTGGCAGTGCATTTACTCTCTTTTGTGCAGTATCCTGTCCATATGAACTGTTGTTGCCATCTGAACCCCCCCCCCCCCCCCGTTATGATCATCCCTGCCTTTGTAGAGCCGGACATTATGTCCTTGGATGAAGTTCACACGCTTCCCAGCAGCTATGTTCCACTACGCTTACACGATGGAGTTGTGATGTGCCTAAGTGACATGAATAAGGTATGCTACCCGAGGTATGCCATGCGGCCGCATTGGTTGTGCTAATGTATTTCCTGTGCTAATATAATTAATGACGTATGCTATGTGTTGATTGCGCATGCCGCATTCACTGTGTAAATTGCTCTCTTGTATTTCCGTCTACTGATTGCCATCGGGCTTTAGTCGTGACAGAAGATAAAGACACTAGACCCAGAGCACAGGGTATCACTTCTCGCTGTGGACCTACCGGTAATAGTGATTTAGTGCTTTAGAGTGTTGTTCTTGACCTGTATTTGGTTGTGTGTGCGTGCGTGCGTGTGTGCGTGCGTGTGGAATTCCCGTATGCAGATCACGTACGAACGTCTGGAGTCGCATTCTCTGCTGAACCCGTCGTTTGCAGATACATCAGACCCAGCACTGGTGAGGAGAGAATGCTGAGTCTGCATACCCTGTCACATGCTTGAGGGTTACTCACAGGGAAAGTCATAGCACTTCGTCTGGGTTTTTTCTCATTTTAATGCAAACACACCTGCTGTTACAGTACAAGTGTACTAGCAATATATGTTGCACCACTGAGCAGTTACATTACAAGTATACTAGCACTGTATATTGCACCACTGAGCAGTTACATTACAAGTATACTAGCACTGTATATTGCACCACTGAGCAGTTACATTACAAGTGTACTAGCAATGTATATTGCACCACTGAGCAGTTACATTACAAGTATACTAGCACTGTATATTGCACCACTGAGCAGTTACATTACAAGTGTACTAGCAATATATATTGCACCACTGAGCAGTTACATTACAAGTATACTAGCACTGTATATTGCACCACTGAGCAGTTACATTACAAGTGTACTAGCAATGTATATTGCACCACTGAGCAGTTACATTACAAGTATACTAGCACTGTATATTGCACCACTGAGCAGTTACATTACATCAGTGTGCGAGTCTAACCACACTTGTGCAATCTCGTTATTTCTATACGCTTTTTCGTGGTCTGCATGCTTTTAGCTGAAAGGTGCAGAGATGCTTGTCCTGCTTTGTAGTCGTTTTATTCCGAGACTGGATCCGAAATGTTTGTTTCACGACTGGACCTGAAGGTTGTTTATGGGCGGACGGACTACCTGGCTATTCGGTGCAAATCTGATGTGAGAAGCTGATGTGAGAAGCTGATGTGAGAAGCTGGTGTGGGAAGCTGGTGTGGTGAACTGCTCAAAGCCAGTGCCTACATGTACGTTTGCTTTGTGTGCTTGCAGATGGAAAAGATAATGGAGAGAGCATTGACTCTGAATAGGTGAGCACTTGCACAGCGCAGGAGTCCTGCAAAGTTTGCCACTATCTTATCTATTGACTGATGTCTGTACACAAGCCGAGTCTCCCTGCATGCAATCTGTACAGATCGCCACCTGTCCGCACACAATGTGTGTTGTCTTAAAAACAAAAGCATCACAGAAGCAGCGCATCACTCCACTGCAAGTTGTGTACGTGTGTGTCCGGAGCTCCTCAAGGTGGATGTGACCCTGCACCTCTACTTGCCTCTTATGGCTTGCTTGATATGTGTATGCTATGTTCTCATTGCGCGATGCCTCAGCCTCCATGCTACATGTAAGATCACTCTTCTTGAGTCTTCAAGCTATTCACTTCCAGTTTGTGTATAGGCAAAGCTGGCTGGTATACCTACTTTCAATGCACGCTTATTGTCACTGAACATATCAGTGCTATTCAGGATTGACTTGTTATTGCCAGAACCCCCCCAGAGCCAGAGCTCTTACTATTAGTGTGTGTTGTGTTGTTTGAATACAGGCTGGATGATGCATGGAACGTGGCCGTCCGTCTTGACTCGAACAACGGCTATGAACGCGTGGCCTGGGCAGCTATGGTCATGATGGACCTTGACATGGGTAACTGACTAACTAACCTGTGTTGGCATTGCAGTAGAACACATTACAGCAAACAGCAGGTGTAGGGTACTACCCCATGCCCCGCCAGTGGTGCCGTTACATCTTTCCATTGGTGTTGATAATGTTCCAGACATGGCACATGAGATGACGAATGCGGATGCATCATTCTTCGCAAGACATCTGGAGATTGCGCACCCAGTCCAGCAATGCCATGCACAGTCAACACATAACAGTCAACACATAACAGTCAACACGCAACACAACTACAGTAAAACGTGTCAAGGCGACCACTCGGATAATGCGACAACCTGTCCTAGAAGACCACTGTAACGGGCCAGGACCAAGGGATGCTATTTCCAGTTAGACGGCCCTGGATAAGGAGACCACCTGGTAACAAAGACCACATATTGAAGGTCCCTTGAGCGGTCGTCTTAGACAGCTGTTTCACTGTACTGTACTACACCAAGGATGCGCTGTGTACACCGTGTTGTCGGATGATTGCGCTGTACACCATGTTGTCGGATGATTGCGCTGTATGCCGCCACACATGTACATGACGTATGTGCAGGCATGAAACTCTGAGCTACGATACCCACGGCCTAGCCTTGACCCACTGGTGTACTGTGCACACACAGTGCTACACATGTCAGCAATATGCTGTAGATGGTTGCTAGCGGCTCCTGCAGACCACGCCGTCTACTTCTGTGCTTTGTCCTTGCCATGTAGCATTGCGCTGCTACCGTCGAGTCAAGTCACCACACCGAGTCATGGCACTGGAGAAACTTCAGGTAAGGAAGAGTATCTCTTACAGGCTCATACCGGCTCTTGCTGGATCAGTGCTGCTATGACTGAACCAAGCAGACAGTTGATTCTCTGTCCATCTTTGAGAGTAAAGTGTTATTGACACTGACACACAGTCGTGTACTTGACAAGTACATTACATACCCGCATCGCAATAGTGCTGCTAAGACTGGAATGCAGTTTGCGAGGCCTTACCGGCTAAGTTATCCTATACACCTGCCGTCTTCTTCAGCTCAGCTGTGGGAGGGTCACAGTGACGCTTACACACACTGTACATGTATCTTTACGCTGCAGCTTGTTGATGACATACAAAGCCTGAAGGGCTTTCTCTTGGTGCAGCTGCAGGAAATCGACCCTGCACAGGTGAGCATTAGCTGTTGGTGTGTCATCTCCGCAATCCTATTGTCCTCACAGAGCCTTCCTTTGTCCGGCTGATTGGCAGCCCACTCATACACACGTGTACATACACACTGGATCATGTCTTTGACTTTGCTTGGCGATAAAGTTTAAGAGATCCATGCTCTTTGCATGCAAGTGGTAGTACGTACAAGTAGACAAATCTGGTGCGGCCATTCATTGATGTGGCGTATTTTACCTAGCATTAACAGTACAGCCCTGATGATCACATGACCAGTGCTGCATGCACATGATTACATGTGAAAAACATTGCCAATGGTCTGCATGGGTTTATGTGTGACATGTGTGCACTTACAGATGTTCTTCTTGAAGTCGAGCTATCCACTGGAAGCACTCGAGGTAATCACAATTATTCTCAGCACTCCCGGCCCATCACAGGGCGGGACACACTGGCGATCTACTTGCGCTGCGAAGGTTGTAAAGCTTCGGTGCAGTGTAGGCAATCACCACTGAATGAAACGGGGGAAGTGTCCAGTTCCTAGAAGCTAGCAAGGTGCCTCTGGTAAAACAAAATCTGGTGGAGTATTTACACGCCTACTCAATTTTACATGCATGGTACATGGTTACACAGAAGATGATGCTGGCAATTGTCACCAAAGTGCTGCAAACCTCTTACTCACCTGGAGGGGAAAGGCCCCATTGGATTTAGTTGTGACCTTTTTAAAGGTTTCATGCCGAATCAATCATCAGACAAATGATAAGATATGTGGACATATTTTGAAGTACCAAATATTATTGCGGCTCAGTGGTTAGAGCATCGCTGGCTTCCAGCGAATGTCCCTGGTTCGAGTCCTGGTGGTGACAGTCAATTTTTATTTTAGACTTTTTCCCATTTCCATTCCCTCAACTAATGAAATATTTGATGTACATGTTAAATATTGTTGTCTCCTACTGTTCATCTCCCTGTATTGACATTGCCACAGCTACGCAAGGATCTTGGCCATTGGGATCAAGCTCTGCAGCTAGCCAAAACACTGGCGCCTGAGCAAGTGCCGCTGGTCTCCAGAGAGGTTGCACGGGACATGGAATTACGGTATGCTTACCAGCCTAGTGGACACGGCCTGATATCAATCATGCTCAGTAACACGTATACACGGAGCGGTGTGCTCAGTTGCATGCTCAGTAACATGTATACACGCAGCGGTGTGCTCAGTTGCATGCTCAGTAACACGTATACACGCAGCGGTGTGCTCAGTTGCATGCTCAGTAACACGTATACACGCAGCGGTGTGCTCAGTTGCATGCTCAGTAACACGTATACACGCAGCGGTGTGCTCAGTTGCATGCTCAGTAACACGTATACACGCAGCGGTGTGCTCAGTTGCATGCTCAGTAACACGTATACACGCAGCGGTGTGCTCAGTTGCATGCTCAGTAACACGTATACACGCAGCGGTGTGCTCAGTTGCATGCTCAGTAACACGTATACATGGAGCGGTGTGCTCAGTTGCATGCTCAGTAACACGTATACACGCAGCGGTGTGCTCAGTTGCATGCTCAGTAACACGTATACATGGAGCGGTGTGCTCAGTTGCATGCTCAGTAACACGTATACACGCAGCGGTGTGCTCAGTTGCATGCTCAGTAACACGTATACACGCAGCGGTGTGCTCAGTTGCATGCTCAGTAACACGTATACACGCAGCGGTGTGCTCAGTTGCATGCTCAGTAACACGTATACACGCAGCGGTGTGCTCAGTTGCATGCTCAGTAACACGTATACACGCAGCGGTGTGCTCAGTTGCATGCTCAGTAACACGTATACACGCAGCGGTGTGCTCAGTTGCATGCTCAGTAACACGTATACACGCAGCGGTGTGCTCAGTTGCATGCTCAGTAACACGTATACACGCAGCGGTGTGCTCAGTTGCATGCTCAGTAACACGTATACACGCAGCGGTGTGCTCAGTTGCATGCTCAGTAACACGTATACACGCAGCGGTGTGCTCAGTTGCATGCTCAGTAACACGTATACACGCAGCGGTGTGCTCAGTTGCACCTGTAGCAGTAGTCAAAGGAAGAGAGTATTTGTTGCCAAAATTATTACATGGATTATGCAGAAAAGTGTTTTGAAGAGTGTTTTGATGCATGTATTGTATCAGCCGTTCGCATTCACTCCTCATGTAGTACGTGTCTTTTTCTTCTGTTCTTTTGCCCTCAGTGCTGACTACGCCAATGCTCTGTATCACTATGAGCGAAGTCTCACAAAGAACACTGAGGTACACTAACTGTTGGTTAAAACGATACGTACGTGCATGCCGCCGTGGTGTTTTTGCCACACTGTCTTGTAACACCATATATGGTATGTTCTTAGTTACTATGGTGACGTTAGTAACACTGTATGTGATTGGTGGTGGCGTCAGTTCACTGTACAAAACTAGCATGCCCAAGAACTGTACAAGATAAATACTACTTGAAATTGGCATGTCAGTGTAGACAGACAGTGACTAGCTACATGCTGTTGCATGGATACATTAGCATTGGTGTCCTCTTACCCTCTTTTTGATGGTTAATTTCAATGCCTTCCCTTCTTGTTCTATTTTGTCTAACACCATGACATGGTATTAACCTCCCGTCTCCTTTCTCTTTCCCTTTGCCTTGCAGCAAAGAGAGCACAATGAAAAGTGCCGCAGCGGCATTGCTCGCACGGCGCTTCGTCTCGGAGAGATCAGGAAGTATGTGCTGTTGATGCATGAGCAATAAATTGCCGTCGATTTCTTTTACTTCGTAGCTGCTTGCTCATGACAAACCATGGTGGGTAGACAGTGCCGGACGGGATTGCGAGTGCATGTACTGTCATTGAACTTTGGCTAGTAGTAGCCGATGCAGCTCAATACTCTCTTTATGATCCGTTACTCCCATGAAATAATGGTACTGAGCAAGCCATCTGTCTTGCTTACCTCCTGAAAAGCATTCACAGTATCCCTATATTTTCTGCTTTGGATATTACCGAGGAATCCCAGTGCAATTTGCAATATCATACTTCGAAGTAGATGATTGCATTCGAACACAACAGTCTTAAAAACAAACAAATGGATGAATGGTTATCTCGTGTGATGTTACATGTATAATGTTCGGCTTCTCTTGGCAGAGGCACATCTATGGCAAACGAGGTGGGCGATGCCAAGCTATACAAAGAGTGTGCGTCAATCCTGGAAGGAATGAAGGTCAGTGTCCCTGTGTTGTTGGTGTCAGACCAGGCCATCAGATGTGCGTATTGTACATACACTTGTGGCAGCAAATGGGATCATTAGACCTTTGGCCTCTACTGGGTTGACCTGACCTGTCCTCCCTACCATTTAAAATATCTGCATCTATAACGCCCAAGCCATGTGATGGTGGCATCTCACAGGAGGGGAGAGGTACTTCTTTACTTGACCAGTATTTAATTCCTTTTACCTGTGATAAAAGCTCATAAAACCGATCTTCAAAGTTCAAGCCATTATCTTTTACCTGGGATAAAAGCATAGAACATTTCAGCATACATGATGCCTTTATTTCAAAGCTGACTGCTGGTTGCAGTGCCAATTCATCATCACATTTTACCATGCGACATTCGTTATACCTACATAATTGAACATGCTTTTTCTTCACCTTCTTGGGCATGTGTTTCCTTCCTTGCTTCTGCGTGTAGCTATTTGCAGAGGCGGCTCTATTCTATGAGCAGGCCGAGGTGTGGGAGAAGTCCGTTACTTTCTATCTACGGGCAAAGAATTGGTGAGCACGGATTGCTTTTAGGGGAAGGGTGGTAGTGTAAGAATGAGCTGCTTTATCCATTTTTATTTCAAAGTAGTCTTCTTTTTGTCTTGCAATGTTGCTGTTGACGGCGCCGGCGTGAGGCGTGAGAAAGCACATTTGCTACTAGTATTTTAGTTGTGGCAAAAGTGTTCAACCCTTAAGAAGCTATCCAGTACATCTTGTTGAGTTTGCGAATGGCTTGAGCTTGAGTCATCAACGCGCGGCGTCGGGTGTTCTTTGGCGCCTTTACTCTCCCAAGAGAGTTAGCATCTAAGTTGAAATAATAATTGGTATTGGTGTCACTGTGGTTTGTTGAAGTTAGCTTGTACCCAGTACCAGTGGCCTGATTGTGTTTGAAGTAAAACCCGTTGCAGGGGAGTGTGTGCAGGGGAGTGCAGTGAGCATAGAGTGCGAGCCAAATGCGGCTGGAAACTATACACTAGTCCAAAGGCTTCCAAGTTTCTCAGTGGTAGCTATAAACATGGTGGACTACTTGACCTTTTCGTGACTGTCGAAACCGTTCGGCATTCTGCCTGACTTGGCATTCTTGGTGGTTGTGTGCAATGATAGTTTTCTTAGGATGTTTCCAGTGTTTGTTGTGTCATAGTGCTATAGTGTTTTATTTATTCAACTCAATCTCGTAGCATTTGCACGCAATGCTTATATGGAGAGCAACCCCAGAGATGAGGGCGATCATGACCGAGCCATGGCCAAAGTACAAAAGAAAAACAAGAAAAAAAGTGGAAAGAAAGTTTATTCTTCCAGACGATCCGCACAACCCTGGTTCCATGTGCCTTTCTTGCCTGCAGGTCCAAGGCAACAAGCCTGATAGACCGTGTCAGCTCAGCAAAGGTGCAGTCACTGTATGCCAAGGCAATGCATGCTAACAGCCAGTACAAACCTGCTGCTAAGGCGTACATCAAGGCAAAGGACTACGTGGCTGCTATTCGGTTAGTAACAGAAACTCAGACTGTTTCTATTTGTCAATCATAGCAGGTGGCTTAACGCATGCATGCATTTTAGTTTGTAATAATTATGTCATTGCATCCCGAGCGACCAATCAAACTAGGCATAGTGGGATGGTTTAAAAATCATGATTGAGAAACAGAGGGTACCAGGTTCAAGTCCTGCTTGGAAGCGGAAAGATTTTACCACCGTGCTGTTACCCACAGTAAGTTGGGAACTCGTGGCCTAGCATGAGAGTAACATAGATGCAGCAAACGGGATTTTTGGCTTTTGACCACTTTGCAATGGGTTTGATGGGTTTGACCACTTTGCAATGGGTTTGATGGGTTTGATGGTGGCGTTCCTGTGGATGGGACACCCCAGTCTGACTGAGTCTCATGAGAGGCGTGAGATACATTTATTTAAAAAAAATTCTGAGCACATTTCTTGTGTATCCTCCGTTTGAAATAGTTGCTACTGCTGCTACCGATCCTGTTCATGCTCATCCTGTAATAAAGTCGTTGCTACTGCTGATGGTGATGGTGTTACTGTTGCTGGTGTTGATGCTAATCCTGTGCAGGGTCTATCTGGATGACTTGAATGATCCAGAATCCGCTGTCAGAATCGTACCTGATGCGTCATCAACGGAGGCGGCTTCCTTAGTGGCCAAGTATGTGCGGCGTTGCTCAGTGGTACAGTCTGTGACATACTCATACTTTGTGCTCTCTGGCTTGTGGATCTATACTGAACGAATGCTTATAGATGTGTGTGTGTGTGTGTGTGTGTGCGTGCGTGTGTGTGTGTCAATTCTTCAGCCTTGCAAGCTGTTGAATGGTGCAATCCCAGCACAAGCTGCTATGGCTTCTGCTGTAGCATCGCTATCATCGCCTCCGGCGATGGGCGTCCAATGGTCCAATGGTGTGTGTGCGTGTGTGTCTGTCTGTGCACGTGTGTGCATGGGCACGCCGTGTGTCCGTCTGGTGTCAGGTACTTTTTGAAGCTGGACGAGTATGGATCTGCCATTCACTTCTTGATAATTTCCAAGCGCACGGAGGAGGCATTCCAATTGGCCAAGAAACATAACCAGATGGAAGAGTTTGCCGATATCATTGGTTAGTATATGCTCTGCGGATAGGGATTATAGGGATGGTGATGACCAAGTTAATGAACACTCGCAATATGATCACACAAGTACTCGTAGAGAAATAGCGTACCTCTGCTGACTTCTACCGACTTTTGCCGACTTCTACCGGCCTCCAACCTGGTAGAGCCGGTAGAGGAAAGGAGGATCTACTGTTTGCGGTAGAAACAAACGAACACACATCTACTGAAAGAAGTAGTTTCTGTGTACACAGCGTGTACTGCGGTGTGGTATTATCGGCGGTGAGACAGAGAATACAAGAATTATAAACTACACAAAAGAGTGCGGAAGCCAGTGCTAATTGAATTGGCAGGTGAATATCCGATCACAAGTTTCATTCCACTACTAGTACACGTACTACTACGAAATATGACAAAGAACACTGCAATACGTGCATGTATTCTGTGACAAATTCCTGTCGGATCTATGCAGGTAATGATGGCTCCAAGGAAGAGTACCGAGGGATTGCGCAACATTTCCAAACACGCGGAAAACCAGTGCAGGCTGGCAAGTTCTGGAAACTGGCTGAGGACTATCAGAATGTATGATATCAGTTTCCATCTACTGCATGCTGTATACCAATGTTGTTGTTGTTGCTGTTGTTGTTGCTGTTGTTGTTGTTGTTGTCGTTGTTGGCGTTGCGCAGCGCTCGGCGTTTGCCGCTGCGTGCAGACTGTACAAGTTGCGCCACTGCGCGCACGAGTGCATGTATTTTCTCCTTTTTCTCTGTACGACACCAGTACTCTTTACATTGTGTTCTGAATGTCATGGTTTGCAGCGGAATACGAGAATACGTACTAGTATTGAATAAACAAATACGGCCAGTTGAGGCAGCTCGACGCAGCAGGCCTGCTCGTAGAGAATCCAGTAGTGAATGCCGAATGCTGCTGTCGGATGATCGCTGAAATGTGTGAAACAGTCACTGAAACTTGAAGTTACAGCGACACAGCCTTTTGCCTCCGTTGTGTGCGTGTGTGTATGTGTGTGTGCACACGTGTGTGTGTGTGTGTGTGTGTGTGTGTGTGTGTGTGTGTGTGTGTGTGTGTGTGTGTGTGTGTGTGTGTGTGTGTACTGGTGTTGGATACATGGTGACCCACACAATAGGAATTGTAATAGGTTCTACACCTAGGTTCTACACCTAGGTTCTACACCTAGGTTCTACACCTAGGTTCTACACCTAGGTTCTACACCTAGGTTCTACACATGTGTCAGGTGTATGCTGACTAGCTGTATGCTGTTGTGGCGGTATGCACGTGTAGGCTCTTCAGCAGTACTTCACCGCTCCGCTTGATCAACTGGATGAAGCCGTTGAGGGCACCATTGACGTGGTGAGTGCAAGTCTTACTCGAATAGTGATTCTTGCAACTGCTGCTACAGAATTCTGCGCTGCTGTGTTTCCCCACTCACCTTCCCATCATGACACGTTAACTTTGTGTGTGATGATGTAGCACAGGGGCGTCGGACACGGTACGGTCACTACGGTATTGACCGTACCACTTTTTGCCCCAGGTACCCCGTGAATCAATAAAATACACTGATCTGGGATCTAAATTTCCATCAAATTTCCGAAAATTTCCGCTCAGCCACCCCTCCCACATGAGTAAATTGTACTTCAAATGGCTGACCGTATCACACTAAAATACCTTCCGACGTCCCTGTAGCAGCTCTGTGAAGTTCATGTGTTTGTGCTCATCTTGCTGCTGTTGCTTACCTCTTGTCAGGCAAGTAAATCCAAGTCTGATCATGTGCTGAAGCAAGTCATTAGCTATTTGATGGGCGAGAAAGATCAACAGCCTAAGGTGAGACAGATATCGTTCTTGTGATTTCGTTTGTGGCTGCCATAGTACCTGTCGTATCACGGTTGAAGCATGAGGACGTAGAACATTTTTACATGAACTGAATGTCAGCTGTATTTAACATCTCCTTCTCGACCTTGAGCACGTCGGCTACATGTACACATGCAAGGACACGGACTGAGACATTGTATGCATGCGTACTAGTATCCATTAATGTGTGTTGCCTTTCTTCCTTATTGCTTTTTGCTGCTGTTGCTGCTGTTCAGGATGCTAGGTACCTGTTCAAGTTGTACATGGCACTGGAACAATACAACGATGCTGCGCACACCGCCATCATTATTGCGCGTGAAGATCAATCATCAGGTAGGATGCACACCTTGCATTTGCAGACCCACCGTCGTTCACTACACTACATGTACTATCATACAGTCATTTGTAAGAGTCTCTCATGGCAGTCAGCGGAGAGGTTGTGCACAACGGACATTTGTAAGAATCTCTGGCAGTCAGCGGAGAGATTGTGCACAACGGACATTTGTAAGAATCTCTGGCAGTCAGCGGAGAGGTTGTGCACAACGGACATTTGTAAGAATCTCTGGCAGTCAGCGGAGAGATTGTGCACAACGGACATTTGTAAGGTGTGGACGGAGTCTAGACCTCGAGAAAGTTTCGGCAACTTTCAACCGAAAGTGAGCTCAGCAGTGAAAGCTGTTTTCGTAGCCATCCCCGCACTGCCACCACACAATGATGTGCCACGCATGTGTACTGTAGTGCAACACAGCGATGTGCCACACATGTGTGCTGTTTTACACTGGCCATGTGCATGCGAGATTAATTTCTCGTATTCAGAGAACCTTGAAGTTCCATTTCTTCGTGGAAGCTGCCAACGAAAGGACTTTCGTAGCATTTTCTTCGTCGTCTTTCTCTGTCGAAAGCTACTACACTTCGCTGTGTACAACCTTACTTGTACTACTGCAGTATTACCTGTAAAAGAGGTGTTCAGTTTTCGTATTTTTTTCATCGATATTCCTTTCCGTGCTAGACAGAACTCAGTATTTACTTGTAAGTGAACTTTAATACGGCGGGCGAGGATTTTTTAAGTGAGGCGAGGATTTTTTAAGTTTGTATGTCCTTCTGACCTAGCTGTGTTGTTGCTGGTGTTTTCCCCTTGCAAATGATGGTCTAAAATACAGGCAACTACCGTGTAGCGCATGACATGCTCTACCGCATGTCCAATGGTAAGTGATTGACATTAGCTGTGTGTGCGCGCGCGCGCGCGCGTGTGTGTGCATGTGTGTGTGCATGTGTGTGTGTGTGTGTGGAAGTGCATGTGTGTGTGTGTGGAAGTGTGTGTGTGTGTGTGTGTGCATGTGTGTGTGTGTGGAAGTGCATGTGTGTGTGTGTGGAAGTGTGTGTGTGTGTGTGTGTGCGTGCCTGCACGTGTGTGTGCTTCTGTTTGTCTATGTGCATACGCGTACTACTGCCATCATTTTGCCAACGGCACAGTCTCTGTGCGTATGCATACACGGGCCTGTATCTGTTTGTTTCGTCGGCCACAGTATCAGAAAAAACCTTCACTCATTTCCGGAATGTATGTCTGTGTGTGTTTGTGTATGCATGTGTATCCGTGTGTGTGTGTGTGTGTGTGTGTGTGTGTGTGTGTGTGTGCCGCTGTGTGTAGAACTGAAGGAGCACGGAATCAAGCCGAAAGCGGATATGTCCGAAGAACTGCTAATCTTGCATAGCTACATGATGGCAAAGGTCAGTTTTCTCCGCTTTTGTAATATGCTGCCGCTTCATGTCTTGTTGCTATATGACGTGTTGCAACAACACATTGATTTGATTTGTGGTGGTTTTGTTCCATTTGTGGCCGGGAATGCTTAAAACTGGACTGCGTTATTGAGGACTTGAGTGAAATGCGAAGTTAACCCTACTACCAACAGGGCCTCAAGACTTGGCACCTATTTTTTATCGTTTTCTGTGCAATGTGTTGCAGTATTTTGTCAAGCAAGGCAACCACCTGATGGCTTCTTTCCTTCTCTCCCGCGTTGCCAACAACATCAGCCGATTTCCAGCGCGTAAGTGTCAGTCCTGGCGTTCGACATGTTTACAGTGCAATAGACTGAGTGCACCAATCCCAGATGTTCACCTCTCCACTTTATCACATGATCCTCCAATGGATGCGGCTAATGTTTGTGTGCATGCATATAGTACACGCCATGCGAGGGTGGCAAAATCCAAGTACCACTGTCCTTGACTACCATGCTGCTGCTGTGTGTGTGTGCTGCTGTGTGTGTGTGTGTGTGTGTGTGCTGCTGTGTGTGTGCTGCTGTGTGTGTGTGTGTGTGTGCTGCTGTGTGTGTGCTGCTGTGTGTGTGTGTGCTGCTGTGTGTGTGTGTGTGTGTGTGTGTGTGTGTGTGTGTGTGTGTGTGTGCTGCTGTGTGTGTGTGTGTGTGTGTGTGTGCTTGTAGACACTGTTCAGATACTGACATCGACTGTGGTGGAGTCGTTCCGTGCCGGGCGGCGCAACACGGCTTTCAACATCGCCATCATGCTCATGAAACCAGAGTACCGCAGTCAGATTGATGCCAAGTACAAAGAAAAAATCGAGCGCATGGTTAGGTAAGCTGGGAGGGGGGGGGGGGTATGTCATGGCATGATCAACACCGCGCCGTGCATGGGATGGTAAAGTGCATGTATATTCTACTTCCAAGTACATTTACCACTTAACAAAGGTCGTTCATCAGGGAAGAAATGAGCTGCCGAGTTTGTACATGTGCTGGAGTGTTTTCAGCTTCAACCTGCATTGCCCCAAATCAACCTGCATTGCCCCGAATCAATCTGCATGGCTACGGGTTCTTTGCTATCTGACAGAAATTACACATTGTTTGTGCCTGTGCTGTTGTTGATTATGTCATAGGCGTCCAGACAAGAGCGAAGTGGATGAACCAGCCACGCCATGTCCCTACTGTAAAAGTGATGTAGAGATGATGCGCCTGGACTGTGCGCACTGCAAGAATCTCTTACCATACTGCATCGTGACTGTACGTCTACATGATGATGATCATGTATCCTCTCTGTCTCTCTGTCTGTCTCTGTCTCTCTGTCCCTCTGTCTCTGTCCGTTCGCCCACCCGTCTGTCTGTCTCTATCTCCGTCTCCCTCTGTATCAGTGTTCCACTCACTATCCCTATACTAGACTAGTACATGACATCCTTTCCTGTGCCGGCTCCACAGTGTTATTCTGATCTTTGCACGGTGTGTGTGTGTGTGTGTGTGTGTGTGTGTGTGTGTGTGTGTGTGTGTGTGTGTGTGTGTGTGTGTGTGTGTGTCATACTCACAGGGACGGCACATGCTGGCAGAGGACTGGTCAGAGTGCCCATCCTGCAAGTTCCCGGCACTGTACAGCGAATTTATCAAGTAAGCTTATGAGGGTGAACACATGTGCGCACACGCGTGGGTATGTGTGTGTGGGTGTGTGGGTGGGTGTGTGTGGGGATCCCGGGACGGATACCCTGATGCCGTCAATCCTTTTTCTGCACCTTGTCCTCACCCACTTACTGAGGTGTGGTGAGCCCATAAGTGGGATCATTTCAAGTCCACCCTAGTTTGGGGATTTCAGGGGGTGTCGGCCGTTGGGTAGTTCAATGGCCAATTGAGTCATCTTTCCAAGATTCCTTTTGAGTCTCTCTCCCCTCTCCCGGGGAGACGCACGTGACCAGTTTTGGCAGTGAGCAAGTACAAGTACAAGTGTGGGTGTGTATGTGTGTCTGTGTGTGTGTGTGTGTGTGTGTGTGTGTGTCCCATATGGTGCAGTGGTATGTGCAGCGATTTCCAATCGATAGGTTGCGGGTTCGATTCCCGACGATTATGGTCACACACGTTCTTCTCTTTCGCAGACTACTCTTGACTTTTCTTTCATTCTCCTGGGTGGTTACCAACAGCCAGTGCATGCCAGAGTATGAGGTGTGATGTGTGTGCGGGACAAAAACAAACATGAAAAAGACCAAAAAGTAGGGATTCACTGTCCAGAAAAAGCCACTTCATAGATGTGTGGTGTAGACCAGGCTGAATAGTGGCGGTCAATTCTTCAGCCTTGCAAGCTGTTGAATGGTGCAATCCCAGCACAAGCTGCTATGGCTTCTGCTGTAGCATCCCATCGCCTCCGGCGATGGGCGTCAAATGGTGTGTTATGCAAGCCTGCGCTTGAACTAGAGTTTCAGTGATTCAAGTTTGGTATGCACCACAGGATGCACATTGTAGCAGGCTGCTTGTTGCTGTTGAATGCTATAACCCTTCAGATGGCAAGATCAAGTGTACAGTAGAGTGCTGTATCCAGATTCCAGAATTTGTTTAACGTGTACATGACTGTACAGTCAACTTAGCGAAAAACGACCTTCGATCATACATGAGAAAAAGAGAAAATCATGGTTCGCTTAAGACTCAGTTAGGCTGAGTTGTCAGCATCCGTAGGCGGAGATGCAGCTCCTAAAGCGGTGGGAGTGACGTGAGAACAGTGTTTTTATTCGTTAGCCTTTGCTATACCCAAGGTTGTTATTCACGAGGTTGACTGTGCACAGCTGTGCATGTCAATAAGTGTGTTGTATTTGTTGTATTTGCTGTGTGTGTGTGTTGCACAGAGTACTGAGCAGCACTGGTGATTCAACACCGTGCTTCATGTGTGGAGCAGGTCTAGAGCCTGACAGCATCTCACTGGTTGATGATCCCAGCGAGCGGCTCCAGGAAATGACTGCCAAGTGAACAGTGGAGAGAGAGAGAGAGAGAGAGAGAGAGAGAGAGAGAGAGAGAGAGAGAGAGAGAGAGAGAGAGAGAGAGAGAGAGAGAGAGAGACTGCTGTTCGTTCAGACGTAGCACTAAAATAGCTACGTCACTGCCCCTAACCCAACGAGTAGTCACTTAGATACCGCGCAGACCTGCCCGTGTTGTACGTATTGTACAACACGGGCGCATACAGTAGACGAAAGAAACCAATGCAATTGTCATGGATTTTCATTTAAGTTTCTGGGGATGTAGAAATTGTAGAAGTGTTTTCATGGTCAAAACGTTCTTGGTATGTACAGAGCTGTCATGAGAGTAACGTAATGTAAGCTCAATATTTTTATCAACATAAGTATCATGTTCATATCTTAGACATTGGAGAGAGACCATATTTTTAATAGTGCTATATCGTGCAGCAAACTTAATACCCTGGATGTCTCTGGTAGCAAGCTAAGAGTGATTATTGTTTTCATATGGCTGCTGCTTTTCATATATCGTTCTCTGTAAGTTCGCCTGGCTTTCTTTATTGCGGTTCTGCAAGTAATGTCGGGATTCGTGTGAGACTAAGTACAGATGATACACCGGCTATTTTGAAATGTCACAATGTGTGTGGGTGTGTCAATATTCATCTTTCGGCTAGTTTGGACAAGATAAAAAAAATCAACAATTGGTCCAGCAGCAAGGATGCTCCTCCTCACATGTTGCTAACTTGGGTGCAGCATGCGATTGCATTCTGCAGGTGTTCTTTGATCACATGACGATGGTCATTATCAGTACTGAACTGGTCGTGCAGCACATCTGCTAGCGTGTACAGTGCTTCAGCCTGTCTCGACACAAACAACGAAGGGAGCAGCACATAGCGGACATCATGGCCTAGAACCAAGTAGAACTTCAGTGAACTGACGATACAAACCATGTCGAGAGCTGTATGTGTGGGTCTATGTCACCTGGTCTATGTCACCTGGTCTATGTCACCTGGTCTATGTCACCTGGTCTATGTCACCTGGTCTATGCCACCTGGTTCGGTAGTAGTAAAGGAACTGTGTGTGTTTGCATGCATGAAGAAAACACCGCCAATACAGATAGACAACCTTACCTTGACTGTGTACAGATCCTTGACAGTAGTAGTCTGGTTACATGCACCACTAGATATGCCTGTGTGAGCGTGAGCGTGCATGCGTGCATGGCGTGGAGAACAAACAGAGAACATAACAATGCATTCAGTACACAACAACAGTGCACTACTGTACTCGGTAGAGGCGAGCCAGTACAGGGCACATGACACAGTAAAAGGTGAAGCAACACGGAAGTGTGAAGTCACCAGTTACCTACCACCTGTCTGTATGATCACTGAATCACGATCAAAGACGAAAGCGTGTCATTTCCACTAAATACCATTTTTTCGGAGTAAAAGTCGCACTTTAAACACCAGTAGTACTTCACCCAAAAAAAGTCAGTGATGTCAGTGATGCGGCTTTTACTACGCTGGTCAAAACAGGGTAGATGTCTGTGTGTCGTGACGGAAAGATCTGGGTGCGGCTTGTACTCCAGTGCGGTTTATACTCCGGAAAGTAGGGCAATGGCCCCGAAAAGGGGATCTCCTGAGTTTGTTCTAAGTGCCTCAGCTCATTCAGCGGTCGGCGCAGAAGGTTTTAATATGCTTTGAAAGATGAACACAATCATGCACATACAAGCGCGTATGTGCTTGACTGACCGATAGTATCAAAGCATGTGTCCTTCAAAAGTACGTTGTCAACACTCTTCTGAATAATACACTTCGAATACATGTACATGTCCTGGTACATAAGATGCTGGTGAAAGAAGTAAATACAAACATGCACTGACAACAATTCTCACCAGAGGCCACTGACAAAGGTGGCAAGTCTTCCAACGTAGCGATGCAGCTGAACAACAAAATGCACACAACACAAGCACAAGTAAGCACATGCATTAGCATTGCTCCGTATACAAAAAAAGAATGTCAGTGTGGCACTCTATTTTGAAGGCAGTTACTGCTGAATATCAGTACATCACTCGAACACACATACACACTCTTTTGAGAGAGAGAGAGAGAGAGAGAGAGAGAGAGAGAGAGAGAGAGAGAGAGAGAGAGAGAGAGAGAGAGAGAGAGCTCAAAAGAACAAACACACAGGTCAAGTTCTTACTTTCGTAAACTTTCCACAGCCTCATCAACCTGCCGCATTGCACGCAGATTGAGTGCACGACATAGCCAAGCTGCACTCTCCAGAAACTGAATCTGAATGTGATTTGGATCATACTCAGACGTTGAATCCGAAATTTCGTGCTTCCTCTTCCGTGATGTAACGGTGCCGGTGTCCTTAGAAAAGCAATCACCTCCCCGGGACACTGTGAGTATGGCTTCATTGACAACACGTATTCCAAGCTTAGCTGACTGACTGCCTGCATGCGCCGAGCAGAAGCTGAGTAACTTGAGGCAGACCCTAGTGCTATCCTCGGGCTGGGAGGCATCGCGCAGTGCTGCAGCATACTCCAGCAATGTCATAGAGTATGCCGCACTGTCATTTAGAGCATGACAGAATACCTGATAAATAGAAGAAGCAGATACAAAAAAAAAAAACCAGGGCTGAAACGATCGTGGATTTTCACCTATCGATTACTCTTTAGCTTAAAGATCGATTAATCGATTATAATCGTTAGCAAATAGTGTCAGAATTTTGTGCAAAAATTACTCTTTTTCCAAAAGCTAGGCCTTCATAATACCAAAAATCTGCATTAGTGACAGGGTAGCTCCGAAACATGGCAGTTTTGACATCAATTTAGTGCACCACGCCCCTGGCAACTGCATACTCACAGCGGAAAATGATTCAAACTTCACAAAAACGAGGGTTTTCAGTACTTTTTGGACTCAAAATCTCTAATGAGTAATCTATAATGTAACGATTACTTGATTGATAAGGAATTATGGATCGCTTACCGAGTAATTGGTAGAATCATTTCAGCCCTAAAAAAAACTCCTGGTACCCCTGACCATGTTCGGCTTTCGTTTGTTCTTGACAAACTAGTACTAGTTTAAAATGGCAGTTATTTCTCAAATGGGTCATCTACTGTCATAAGTTACATACCTGACTGGTGAAAAGTGATGATGCCTTCGTCATAGCTTGCAGCAGTCTGCTGTATATTGATGTGCATCTATCCAGAGCTACACAGCACCACAAACAAACACACAAACAAACGCACAAAAAAATTAAATACAGCACACACACAATGCCGGCTCCAGTTCAGCCAGCCGTCAAACCATCACATCTCAACAGCAGCTGTAGTGTAGTTCAACAGTAGTTGAGCTAAGCATGACACATAGGACATTACATGACACATAGGACATTACATGACACATAGGACATTACAATAGATATGTAGCACTCTAGTTCCTATACAGGTTTTTTCCTATACAGGTTTTGCATGCTCAGGAAATACGCACTGGTCCAACAACCCCTGGCCTTTCATAGGGCATGCCTTACTGTCGTCATCTTGATCACTATCAGGAGCAGAGTGCCGAGACAGTAGGGTCTGTGCATAGGCATGCAAGAGCTGCTGGTGGTGCGGCACGGACAGGTGCACGGAGACCCTGTGCAAACGACGGTGGATTGCCAACGCCGGCAAGACTGGCAAGGATGGCCGACTGGTGTCACGTTGATCAGCACCACCATGTCCAGTGCCTGCAGCCCACAGTACAACAACAGCAGCAGAAACAGGTTAGCCATGCATGCCAGCGTTGAATACCCGGGCTTGGGCATTGACGCAAGTGTTCCAGAGAAAACCTTGCTGCGCATGGGTCGTGCAGCTCCGAGGGAGAGGACGGTGGCAGCATCGGTGTCACACGAGTCTTGCATTAGGATACAAAGTAGTAGAGGGCTTCACGTTGCGGAAACAGCAAACTACAGTCAGGTGGATTGGCTGACTCACCTGACAGAGCGAAGGACACCATGTGGGAGAAATCACAGCATGCTGAGCGCCCATTGCTGTACTCTGCATACAACTATTCGGAAAGAAGAAAAAACGACAGAGAAGGAGAGAGAGAGAGAGAGAGAGAGAGAGAGAGAGAGAGAGAGAGAGAGAGAGAGAGAGAGAGAGAGAGAGAGAGAGAGAGAGAGAGAGAGAGAGAGAGAGAGAGACAGAGAGACAGAGAGACAGAGAGACAGAGAGAAAGAGAGAGACAGAGACAGAGAGACAGACAGAGAGACAGACAGAGAGACAGACAGAGAGAGACAGAGAGACACAGACAGAGAGACAGACAGAGACAGACAGAGAGAGAGAGAGAGACAGAGAGACAGAGGCTGGCTTGTGTTACCCGATGACAGTGAGTTTCAAAAGCAGAAATGGAAACAAAGTGATAGCACCAACATGGCCACTGCTTGTTCACCATTTCCATGACTGGACCATAATTACTGAAGTATGATCAGCTAGGCTAGAAAATGTCACAGGTATACAACAGGTTAAACCAGCAGCAACAGAAATAGCTCACCTCTGCAGCATGCTTCCAGGACTGGACTTCAGACTTGGAATCTCTGAGCTGCTTGAAGACGTGGCATGCCGAGAGCATAGCCAGTATGGACACGTGCAGTACGTTATCTACTATGCTGGCCTTCAGCTTGAGCAGGGCACGGTGAGGCTCACCCTGACGTTAGGGTGCACAAACAAGTAACAAATAAACACAACAAGTACACAAGTAGATAGTGCCAGCTGGAGTTGCCACAGAAGCAGAAGAAGTTGCCGAGCACAGGCGAACCAAAATATTAAATTGCAGCGGAACTATAGGGCATGAGAGGGAAGGGAAGCAAGAGAAGGTCAAGTAACATCAACTGTTATTGCATTTCCATTCTATGTACATGTAACTGTTAGTGGTAATCTGGACAACCACTGTCATAATGTACACCAGTTTTCTAGCCAGGTCAAAATAGTAGGGGGGCGGCAGTTTTTCACAGGGGGGCGCGCAAACGGAGAAGGGGGGCGCTGCGCCCCCCTACCCCCCTTTGGCTAGAACCCTGGCACACCACACAGTTTCTTACCATGAGCAAACGGCAAATGCCCCCGAGAAGATTGGCCTGCGAGGAAAGATGGCCTCGGAGTGTGTCGGCGGCGCTGTCCAGCAGATCTATGCATTGTGCCGCTTCTCCATTTCTACACAGTAGCCATGCTGCAGTGAAAGCAAAGGCTTCAAATATCAATGGCATGCGCTGACAATGACTACCTTGCCAGTCACCAATATAGTAGAAACAGCAGCAATTTGACCAACTTTAGCAATGGCAACTTCTAGGTCGATTCAAGGGACAAGCAATCAAGCTCATGCATAGTCATGCATAAACAAACAGAGAGGGAGAGACTACCTTGGAAGGACACAAACTATAATATTCAACAACAAATGGCACTATTACCTTCTAGAAAGATCAATTCAGCATGTTGGTGCTCCCCCTCTCCAAAGCACTCATTGCAGACTTTCCTCAACGCTGACAAGCTGCCACTACTAGTCGCACATACGCACACCATTGAGCACAACATGTTGGACAAATGGAACTTGAGATCTGCAGAAACATTGAGACATGTTAATGCAATGAACCATTGAACAGCACATCGGGTATTGACTGAAAAAGGAGACAGGACTCTGATCAGTGGTAGCAGGTTGCATAACACCCTAAGACGCAGAAGCAAGAAATAATTCTGCGTTAGGCACAGGCCATACGATCATGTAGCAATTCTAAGCAGATTCGGTATGGATGGATTGCAACTTGAACAATGGCAGTGATCACTAAGCTGTGCAGGGTCTGCTCCTCACTGCGCAATAAACCTGTACGCTATTAGTATACCCCAAAGCATACGCACCACCCAGTCAACACTGCAAACCATACGCACCACCCAGTCAACACTGCATTTTTTTTAGAATAGAACCGATTTCAATATGAGCAATGGTGTGAACAGGCTGCCACAACAAGTAACATAGTTACCCACTCACCTGGGAAACTCCAGAAACTGATCAGCCCTTCACCAATCAAGTTGATATGTGGCTCATCCTGCACAGAACACAAAGGTACACGAGCCACAAGCAGTCCGCACACACGCGCGCGCGCGTGCACACACACACACACACGCACTCACACACACACTCACACACTCACACACACACACACACACACACACACACACACACACACACACACACACACACACACACACACACACACACACATAGAGCCACAAGCAGTCAGCACATACGCGCACGCACGCAAGCGCGCACACAAACACACACACGTGCACACACGCGCACGCACACACACACACCACTAGAAGATGCATAATTGATGCTGTAACGCATACACATTTTAGCTGCGCCATGCCTCAGTTCTAGCCTGCAAAAGACATGCCACACAACCATTGACAGTCGATAAGCCTGGCATCCAGTCCTATCAAGCTAGAAACCTCCAATAAAAAAATACTGGCACATGTACCGTATTTTTCCGGTTGTAAGCCGACCTTTTACGACTAAAAATAGAAGGAGAAAGGGTGGGGGTCGACTTACAACCGGGATTCGACTTATAACCGGGAACTATCGGTATCTTACAACAAATGACCTGCACTGCATGCACGAGTGCACCATGTGTACACATTTTTGCCAGTTTATTGGCTTTTTTGAAGGACTGGGACGTGATACCCTCCAATGAGGAATGTTTACATGATTTGTTGATGTGTTGGTAGCAGGGAGTGGTTAGTAGTGCTTCTTTGGGTGAAAACTTTAAAACGCAGAATTGAGACCTCCGGATACGCGGGTCGACGTATAACCGGGGTCGACTTACAACCGGTAAAATACGGTACATGTATATGAGAGCATGGCAACATTCATACAACGGCTTACTTTGCCTCTAGTTGGTGACTTGCTGCCAAGGCACCCTAATATGTCCACACCGAGCTGAAACAGCGACTGGCTCATACCGTGGTCTTTCGTCAACAAACAAGAACAAGACACAGTAGACAGAATCTTCAGACGGGTGATGTGAGGAGAGAATACAGACTGCATGGCAGTTCGCACCAAGCCACACATCAGTGCTCCAAGTAGATTGACTCTAGATACCGAAACAACATGAGAACTGAAACTTCAATTCTGTAATGCACGCGTACACACACACACACAAACACACACATGCATGCATGCATGAACACACAAACACAAACACACACACACACACACACACCTCAGACCTCAGACATGCCCATCGCGAAGCGATGATAGCGAACAGCTATGTTAGACATAGCAACTTGTGCACACACACACACACACACACACACACACACACACACACACACACATGCACACACACACACATGCACACACACACACACACACACACACACACACACGCACACACGCGCGCACACACACACACACACACATGAGAGAGAGAGGAACTTCTGGTACCTGAAGGCAACAGCTGCAGGCCGTAAGTGATCGCGGAGACACATGTCAGCAATGCGGCGAGGAGACGAATAGCATCTTCAGACTCTGTCACAGGAAAAGGTGAGATAAAACGGTAAGGATTACAGTGCGCACAATGCATGCCTCTGCATGATGTGACACAGAGTCTTGGGTTACTCTCAACTGTTGAATACCAATAAAATCTTATGCAGAGAGGACACTGCAGAGAAGTCAGCATGACGAGAAGTTCATCGCAATGACAAGCAAGGCACATGCGACCAGTAAATTATCACTTACTAGTGCAATGCTTCACAGCCTTGAAAATGTCAGTAGAGGCTGTCACCATTGCTGCCACATCATCCCTTGCTATAGCAGCAACACTGTCAATGTTCAGAACACGTGCTGCTGAGCCAGCAGTGAAGGGAGCACCAACACTGTGATCCTGATTCATCTCACTCTGCTGTATAGACGCAGACAGGGTTTTCAGAGCTTGACAAAACAAACACCCGCACACAACAAAAGTATCACGTGTTTTCTTCAAAGAAACTCGTGCCCATCGTGAGAGTATCACAACTACTGCCAATAATAATGATTCATGCCAAGTAAACACAGTGAGGAGAATACAATGACTTCATTCTCTTCACTCATAGTCAATAGGATTGGGTGCAAACAGTCGTGTTCCCAGTTGAATACGAGCCTCTGGCATGATAGAACATGTTCTGCTTCCAAACAGGATTAACCAGGTCCTAGTGCCGTTTCTCCTTCGTACTCAAGGCTCTGAACTATGCGTACGTATGGAGCACAATCATGCATCGTACAATAGCAGTGAGAGGAGGGCACAAGCACACACACACACACATAACGTTGATTCCGTACCTCTATTCAAGCCTTGGCCCAGGACATGCAGCGCGACGTGAAGGCCGCCATGAAGTGGACCTGCACCGGGGCAAACCTCCCGATGTCCATCATCACTATCATCACCACTATCCTTGGTGCCTTGGCCATCTATCAGCAATAGGACGGCGGCAGCATTGTGCCGCACTAGTAGTTCACAGTGAACTGAGGTTGGGCTGCATGGTAGACCTGCGCACACAGCAAGGACAAAAAATCTGAACTAGCCAAACGAACTGAACTTACCCGCGATCAAGTTCTCAACTGAACTGAACTCACCTGCAGTCAAGTTCTGTGACCAAGTTAGTTCATTCACGCCATGCACTGACCAGACTGGCATGGCTGAAAACTACCCTTTCCTATACTGTAAAACCGGAAAATTTAGCGACCAAAAAGTTAAACGTTTTTGTAATTTTGGCATAATAACGTGCAGAAAGTTTAACGATGGCTAACTGGCCACCCAGAACATGCATCAATGTATGCGCATCTTTACACACCGGGTTCGCCATAACCAGATAACGTTTCTTCAACTAATGAAAAAAATTGGTCGTTAAAACGTTAGACTTTGTGACTCGTTAGACTTTCCGGCTCTACAGTAGACACAGATCCCCATGATATGCATGCACCACATCCCCATGATAATGCATGCACCACACAGATCCCCATGATAATGCATGCACCAGATTCTACATAAAAGGCTGCTCGGAGTTGAATGTCATTCCATCCTTTCTTGATGCTATAGATGCCTCCTTAGGCAATGGGGTAGAAGATTTGGCTGCCGTCGTGCAACATAGAAACTGTGTGTTAAAATGATTGGAGCAGTCTACAGCTGCCCACATACTACGGCATCAGTTGAGCTGAATTTTGAGATATTATTCCCCAGATGGCAAGAGGGCACAAGCAGAAGCCGCTCACTGAGTGTGGCATTGGGTTCATGGCCAAGCTAACCCAACTCTGCTGGCAATAGTCCAGATGTCCACTATGCTGGTGCTATATGAAGGCTAGGGTCCAGCCTTGCCCTGCAGCCACCAATCGCCAGATGACAATCTGACCAGCAGTAAAATTTTCGGTACTCTAATCCAATGCCTACTGCACACTATTTAGTATTTACCCATGTTCACCCTAGCATACACCTTGCAGCACCTGGCATGGGTTTCAGTCTACATCACATCTTCCTTGAACATCAAACAAATATCCAATGAATGCATATACCTTCGATGGTCCTCAACAGAGACCGGTACTGCTGCCAGCAGGCAAGAGCCTTCGCACGAGAAGTTGGTTGGAAGCTGTCGCATGACTCTCCCTGTGCAGAGAAAAGTTAAAGCCCAACAGTCAACACAGGTCATGACTGACGTATAGATACAAGCACAGTAGGGGATTCAAAACATGTGTGCTCATGCGCAACCTGCTCAACATTGAAGCGCGTGAGCACTCACCAGCACAAATGAACGGCCCAATTTACAAGCATCATTCTTTGTGTGCGACTGTGGCAGGAAGCCTACAAAGAAGAATAGCCATTTTTAGAAGCGTTGGATCAGTTGTGCTAATGCATACCGAGATTTTTTTCAGCTGCTTTCAACAATACTGTACTATTTACTTTCGTTTGTGATAAGATGTTCATGGTACAAGTATCTGAATTATAGTTCAACTCATACTGGCAAACCTCATGAATTCCCATGTCAAACGTCAGAATGCCCTCGGTGGTGGTGTAAGCGTTTGCTCCACACAACACAAGCGGCCACATTCGGCACAGGCCGATGAAAGAATGTTTGGATAACTGCGACCTAAGGCCAGGTACTCGTATGTATAGGATGTTGCACTCGACGGGCACGGGATAACTACACATCCCGGCAGCTGCACACATGAACTAGTACAGTAGCATGTCAGTTATCCGACACCCGCATGACCGAGCCCTGTTGTTTTTAAGTGAATATTCCGGATAACTGAAGCTAAGGGTGCGTTCTTATATTCTCTAGCTTCTAGAAGAAGAAGAAAAGAGAAGTCGAAGAAACTGGGATTACTCAAGAACGGGTCTCGAAGAATTCGGAGATATTTTGCACATGTCAAGCAAAATGAAGCGTCAAAGGGGCCGCGATCTTGAGTGACGAATGTATGTGCGTATGCGAAAAGGGAAAAGCGTACACTCATGACGAACACGTGGCTTTTAGTCGTAGTTCGCATGCGCTGGTCCCAAACCGCGGGAATCTCCAAGTTTCAACCACCTCTGAAGCTTGGAGAGCCTCCTAAAAGTCGGAGAGGATATAAGAACAGCTCTCGAACTTTTCGGAGAGTCTCCAACTTTTCCGAGAGGATTTAAGAACGCACCCTCAATTATCACCATCTTTCCACACATCAACAAGATTATTACACATGTACATGTACATGGTCGCACATGTACTGTACAGGTCGTCCCCCGTTAATACGAGTCCGGTTAGTACATAAACCCCGTTAGTACATAAGAAATCTCAAGTCCCAGACGAAACGTGGTCACTTCCACACAAATTTTGTCGGTTTGTACATAATTCGTTAGTACATAAACCCCGTTAATAGTACATAACATTTCTCCGTACCCGCATGCCACCTACCTCAATAGTACATAATTTGTTGGTCTTTTGGCCTTCCAGTGGAGGCACATCGTGTTCTAGTTTCTACTTGTGGATGCAATTAGCTCAGAAATCAGAGCGCACATCACAAACCGACAAAGCTCTGTTTTTTTTCTCGAGTAACTGTACAGGCGTGGCTGGGCATGTATCATGTAAACTGTAGAATCTTCGCTGACTGTGACCGATATAACATCATTTTTATGTTATATCGAGGGAATCAAGAATATCTCGCTCCCTAGTCATGGTAGCAAGAAACACTCAAAAAAGTTGAAAAAAGTGAAAAATTCTGGTACACAAGCAAGTTATGTACACTTTCGTTTAGCACATAAACCCCGTTATTACTAGGGGTGAAACAAATTCAAACAATTATACCGAATACTCGAGTACTCGCTCGGTTTTTTCAGAAATATTCGTACTCGGAATAAATCAGAGTACTCGTTCATACGTGGTACATGCATTTACCACAGAAATCTGCAGTTTCAGAGCAGCAGTCGGCAGATATTGATGTGCAGACTGTGTGGTGAACATTTTTTCACGAGTAGAGAGAGCCCAAATGACCCAGCAACCACTATACCAGAGAAAAATGGCAGCAACTCGGTTCAAGCAGGATTGTATCATGTGATTTTAAGGCCCTCGGTGTGCAATTTATAGGAGATGAAGAATACTTGAATACTCGAATATTCGATCGGAGAAAATCAGAGTACTCGAACTCGGGATCTCAATGCCAACTTACACCCCTTGTTATTACTAAGTACATAACATTTGTCAAGTCCCAGAGATTATGTATTAACGAGGGACGACTTGTACCTCTATTTTGGCATTCTTCTTTTTGTATCCGACACCCGTGTGCAGTAGCTTTGCATATCAACTTATCAAGTCATCAATATGAACCCACTCTATCAAGTCATCAATATCAACCCACTCTATCAAGTCATCAATATCAACCCACTCTATCAAGTCATCAATATCAACCCACTCTATAACAATAAGGCAATGTTCAGGGTATTGAAACGGTTTGCATGGAACACACTGGTAAACGTGCGCTGCCAGCACGCTATCGGATAACCCACATGCCGGATCACTGAACGCCGGATAAGTCAAAGTGGCATGCTACCCTGTACTCACACTGCAGCAGTCTGCGAGGACGGCATTGCTGCACTCAGCCCAGACCCAGTGCTGTGGTGATACCGCGGCATTGCTCACGCTGGTGTCTGTCATAGCTACATTGTGCACAGTACTCGACACTACCTACCAACACAGCACATGCACATACAATAACAAAGAAAACCCCATTAGCAAAACAAATTATTGGCCCTCAAAAATTTCAAAAAATTTCAAAAATATTCTAGACTATACATGAATCTCTCCTCTCTGTCAACACCAGTAGTTGGCAGTACTCAGTTGCAATTTCCAATCAAGAAACAAGCAACCTACTGTCAAAACCTCACTATACTAACAAATGGTGTTCCGCATGATACAACATCACCCTGAAGTTTCAGACTGAACATACCTGATCAGAACTTCGTATTTCATTCAAGTAGCAAGCTGCAGCTTCATGCTGGCACGATCCCACTCGTTTCAAATGCTACACACCTATCATAATCACCAGTCCAACTACTTCTGGTGGCCGTACATAGTAATTATGATGAAAGTTATAATGGGATGCCCGTGTAAGTTTGTCCGTCAGCCCTTGATGCTACGTCTACCCAACACTCCCACAAATTATTATGCTTTTGTGCACAGACGAGACAGCGTTTCGAATTTCGGAATCTCAAAGTATTTTTACCGGTATTTGAAAAAATAATCTACAATTTCCTATGTTTTTTTGCAACACTTGGTGCAGATCGCATATCGGCTTTGCATTATGCGGTAGAGCGTGATATCTGAAAACAGTTTCTTTGGGAAAGAGATTGTTTGTTGGTTTCTTTCTACGAAGTGAATCTTCCAGGGATAGAATGTAGATGCTGACGGGCGAGTCATACCGATGTATGAAAAAGTGAGGAATATCGCTAAAAGAAACTTCTTTTGTTCGTTGCACTAGCGACTGCTGTTGAGAGAGCGTGAAAAGTTCTCTGTGGGAACTGAGTCCTGGAGTAATTGCTACCCAGTCAATATCCACTCTCCAAGTAGTGCACTAGTGGATGCTGAACACTGTCATGTAATGCTGTTACTCGCCACTGCGCGCTGAGAAAGCAGGCCGAGGGGTAGAACTCGTCAGGGTTTCCATAACTGACACTTTCATCACGGAGCCGTATCATCACTGTCAGAATGATGCGATAGGCGGCGTTAGCGAGCTGTTTCAGGACTGTCTCTCGTTGCTGATGTGGACACTATTGGCGTGTACACCACCGTCCTTGAATTTCTCTTGTACGGATTAACGTTTCTTTGCAACCATGTTTCAACAGTCGCTGAAGAAGCCAGATGGCGAGCGCAAGCCATCACTAAAGCACATAATGTTCTATTGGAGTTTGGTGTTAAACGTGATTATTGGCGTGCTGCTGGCACTGACCTTTTATGACTTGATGTATGGACAACCACCTAACAGCGATGCTAGCGACTTAGTCACGGAAAAGCGCCCGCTAATAGGCGGTATTGTTCGCCAGCGACTGAACAAACAAGGCGACAGTCAACAGACCAGCCATGAATCCATAACGTCTCTGTTGCGTGCATCCAACGGTCAGCCCTCCGAGGTCCACAGCCAGGGCCCACTACGGGAGAAATCGGACGAGTGGAAGAAGCTCTTGGCCGGCAAGATATCCGAGAAGACGCAGAACTCCGCATCCGATTTCTTCTCGCTGCATCGCACCAATCCAAGCTCCGACGAGCAAGAACAGCGTACCGCGGGCAGCAGCAGCAACAGCAAACAATCCTGCAGTGATCACAAGCAATCTCAGTGTGAGATGTGTGCCGGTGTAGGCAGCTCGTGCTGTAATGGCGTCGAGCGGAAAGAGGTGTACCTGGCCATCATGTGCAAGTCGGCGCCGCTGAATTCAAAGAGGCGCCAAGCCGTGCGAATGGCCTGGGATCAAATGATTCTCGTGGACCGCTTCTACGCAGAGTACGTTCTGGAACCGCAGGTGTACTTTGCTTTCATTCTTGGCAAGATGAAAACAAAGAATGAAGCACAGGACAAAGTAATCAACGACGGTGTTGAAGGTGAGGCCAATATCTATGGGGATATGATCGTGGGCGACTTTGCGGACTCCTACACCAACCTGACAACCAAGCTACTGTTTGCGCTGGACTGGCTGAAGTCCAACTTGCGCTTCCGCTACTTGATGATGGCGGATGATGACACGTTCATCAACGTGTTTGGTGTCTTGCAATGGCTCGTGATCAGCCCCGAGCACAGCTTCTATGCGGGCAAGTTGGAGAAGGATGTCCTGGTGGTAAGAGACCCTGAGTCAAAGTGGTATGTAGACCGCGGGTTCTACGGACCGGAGACGTACCCGCCCTATCACCAGGGCTTTGGCTATGTTGTGTCCTGTGATGCCATTCAGCACGCTATGAAGTATTTGTCAGCCATTCCGCTATTCGGCATTGATGACACAGTCATGGGGATGCTAATGTATGTGATCACTGTCAAGCCGATCAACATGCCGCGCTTCTTCCCTGCGCCGTATCATTGCCAGATGGCTGGCTGACCATCCACTCGTCATTGGCGACACTGAGCTGGATGGGTTCGTACGCTACACTCGTGACATTCTCTACATTGGCTGTCCAGTGTGTCAGAAGAAGAGTGCTGACTCTGGAGCACCATCCAGAACATAGTACCTAGCACTGAAGTCCCCGGCACAAAGCGGGTGACATGTGCAATAATCCACCACTCTCTGAACTGGTCATGTGCAAGTCACATACAGTGTAGTCGTAACAGTTCCAGCAGCCGTCGCTGTGTATAGTTGGTACACTGCCTGGCAGCGGGTGGTTGGGTAAGGTCGCAAATCAATGCACGGACTGATGGGCTGCCATCTCCGTGTGGCTGGCCCCACGCCATTACCGGGCCAACTCGGTAGTCGGATATCAAATGTACCGCTACTGTTTCAGTTATAACGCCATTTTAAAATGATTTCTTTCACTATGCTAATGCAGCATACCCAGGCAATCTGTTGAGCAGTATCTGCAGCAGCATCATCGGTTCTTGAGTCAATTGTCATTGTCATGATTTATCCACTGCTAGCTGGTATTGTTTGAAAAAATAATTTTAGTACCGTAACGTATTGCAGTAAGATTCTCCAGAGCCCAGGCCTGCGCCTCCTATTCTCCAGAGCCCAGGCCAGCGCCTCCTATTCTACAGAGTACAGTGCAAGTCCTTGGCCACGAATCTCTACAAATTCCAAAAACTATGTGTGAATGCTTTCAGAATTCTATGCTGGTGCTCTCGGATTCCGTGCGTTATCAATCTGCATGCCGTGCGGTCGACGAGCTTCCAGTGAGTGGGTACCATTCCTCACAGTCGCATGTTGTCCTATTGGGTCACGGTCTTTGTGCCTAGAATGGTCACCCTCAAGTGCAGGCGGATTTCCACAACCATACTTATGGCGTTGGAAAGTGGATTCTGACAGAGTAATACATGCCGCCATACACATAACGGCGGTGTGTTGTGAAGTCACACACTGAGTGCGTTCGATTTTGCCCCCCCCCGGATCGATGTTGGATGAATTCATGAATCACCCCTGGCTATTCACATCACCCCATATGAATGGGGTGAATGGATTCCGAACCAAGTCCAGGCGGGCTCATGACATGAAATCGAACCGTACGACACTCCATTCATGAATCGATTCAAGTGCGTAATCAAACGCACTCACTGGACTCAACTCCAACTTCAAGAACACAATGAATAGGTATCAATGGTAATCCTGAAATTGTAAGTATACCAGTACTATTTAGGCGTCAGTTGAATCCAGTCTGAAAGCAGATAGCGCTACCAATATGCAGTTAATATTTTGATGTGAAGCAATTCGCACAGGCAATTCGCACATGAAAAAGCAAAGTCCCGGCCAGGAATAGCCGGAGGACATTCGAGCAAAAACAGATAGTACCAAGAATACAATGAATAGATGGGGCAATTGTGTGATGTGGACTTTCAGAGTCTACAATAGCTCTCTTGAACATGTTCTATGCGGAAAGCTTGGTAAATGTAGAATAAAAACGGCCACGGAAATGGGGCGAAAAGTCTAGAAGGTGTGGTATGTACAGCGAAGCTATCGGCGATTAGTACAAAACTATACCGATGGGATAAATTGCAGAGCAGAAAACATACTCATATCAAAACAAATAACCAGCAGTGCCCGCAGAGGAAACTAGTGCATTCAAAGAAATAGATATCCTGCACAATATTCTACATCACATGGCAATTGCTTGAAGCCATCTCTTGCCAACACCAGCCAGATCGGGATTGAGAGGGGAAACGTCACCAAAGTTCAATGGAAGCAAACAGCAACGGGGTGATGGCACGCACAGTGGATGTGGAAATATTACTGTATGTTGTGTGGGATGACAGATTTGGCTAGCCCTGACCAAAGAGTTCGCTCAGCTTCCCTTACTTCGTTGCCTGCCATATGATCACCCCGAGGATGGCGGCGATCACAATAACCACAATCGCAATGATAACCCACATCTGTAGCCAAACACACACACACACACACACACACACACACACGCACACACCAAAGTGCACGGAAACACAATGAACAGCAGCAGACTCCGGACAGGCTGTGACATGGCACTTCCGAGCCGTATGCATTTCCTACTTGCTCTTTCACCTTCAAACGCTCTACAGTACAGCATACCGTACTCACTCGATTAAAGCCCCATCTTGAATGGTGGCCCTGTCTCTAAGAGCCAATGAAAAACTAAAGCCCTCTCTTGAATAGTGCCCCCCCCCCATGCTTTTAATCAAGCACATGTGCAAGTTTGGTGTTGTTTTGCTTATGTTCTCGTCCACGTCAGTGCACTGGTGGTTTAAGGATCAACATCACAGTTCGTGTTGCAGTTCCTGTTTAGTTGTGCTAGTTCAGAGTAACGTTTAGACTCTGTCTTTCTTTGCCTTAATTATCTTTCTGCTGAAAGACGTAAACTTGTACATGTAGCCGCATTGAAAAACAATCGTGTCCTGGGGGCACTAATAGTGCGAGTACGGTAGGTACTCATTATGGTACCATATTTTCCAGGTTAAAAGTCGACCTTGTGTAACCTAAATCCTAATTACAGAAGGGCAGTCGACTAACAGCCCGGGTTTACCCGCCATTGAACCGGAAAACCGACGAGGCCTTCAGTATGGGGCTTCAACTTATAACTGGCATCGACTTACATCATGTGTATAACTGGCGTCGACTTATATCATGTGTATATTAAACTGGTAAAATACTGCACTGTTATGATCGGGGAATGGCTTGCACTCTCCGTTGGCGGCTTACCTTGACGTTCTTCCAGTACATCCTGCGCTTCAGGTTGGTCGACGTACGTTCAAATTGGTTTGCTCCAACTTGCAGGTTTTCTGTTGTGATGATGGAAATTGTCAGAAACATACAGAAACACAAACACACCCATACCATGTACACACACGTGCGTGCGCGCACACACACACACACCATGTAAACACACACACACACACACACACACACACACACACACACACACACAGGTAGTTGAGTACTGCAGGCTCTAATAGCTAATACTGTAATAGCAAGAAATGACCACTTCCTAGACATCACTCATGGCAGCTGATACCTTTCTCAAAACTACTGGCAATGCTTTCTGCAGCTGCTGTTGACTCACTAGGCCATGTATCATGTGACACCACATGAAATTATATTGAAATTGAACAACAGCATTGGACATATCACACAGTACGCCCATTGTCACTCATATCTTTCTGACAATACTCATAACTATAGATCATCTGGTGACTTTGCCAGGCATAGTGGGATGGTCTAAGACTATGATTGAGAAACGGGAGGGACCAGGTTCAAGTCCTGCTTGGAAGCGGAAGGACTTTTCCCGCCGTGCTATGACCCACGGTGAATGGCCTGGCGTGAGCCTGAAACACGGATGTGGCAAATGGGATTTCGGCCTTTGGTTGGTGGATCTGATCTATCCTCCCCCACCTTCTAGGAGCCACATCTAACGACTGATCATGGCGTGGTGGCATCCCACGGAAGCGGGAAGGCGGTTCTTGAACCGCCCTGCACGCGGACCAATGCATTTTTTCTGGAGACTTTGGCGGTTTAAAAATTTGTTTGTTGTTCATTAGTAGGAATGATAGGACTGATATGATTGACACCTGTATGATTGACACCTGGAATTGCCTCCCAGTCTCTATCCTCAGTGCTCGCCCCTCCCAGAAGTCGATGCAGACCTTCAAGAAGAAGGTCTATGACCACCTGAGGCAGTCTGACTGGGACTGGGCAACCGACCGCCTTTAGCCTCCTCCGGGATTATTCTCCTGCTTCTCCCACCCCAAGCCTAATTGTCGCCAATCCTGAGTAGCCAATCTCCACTGCTACCCTATTGCACCCTTCATTTGACACTCTCCTTTCACTCCTATTATCTGTTTAATTATTTGCTATTTTCTGCTGTGTTCCAAAATTAGATCCTCTCCTTAATCTTCCATTTTCTCCCCTGCTTTTTTCCCCTCATGCTTATGCTTCCCTCCCAAATTTGGTGCGCCTGCCATGTGAAGATGCCGAGACCTCTGGTCGGTTGAGCATGGCAAGCCCCACCAGCACCATCTCACCCCATGTGCCCCCCCCCCCCCCCCTGGTGAGTTATGTATTTTGTAAAAAAAAAAAAACTTCATTGTGATCGGTTTGGCCAGTCAGCCTGAGCTCCTCTGATGACACCTAATAAGGTCGAACCAGCTAGCTGTTCGGAGATTGAGTATTTCGCTTCCTCGCCTCGGCTTGCTTGAGCACTCTTCCTGGTTACCGTATTTTCCGGAGTATAGTGCGCACTTTAGATGTGCTATTTTAGGCCCTAAATCGCAGGTGCGCACTATGCTCCGAATATGAAATGCATGTACTTCAATGAAGATTGAAGTGCGCACCCCCAATGAAGATTGGGGGTGCGCGTTATACAAAGGTGCGCACTATACTCCGAAAAATATGGTAGCATCAAAGCTATCTGCCTTCGTGCAAAGCTTGCTGTGTTTATTGCGCAATTAGAGCACTCTGACTCCGATGCTTTCAGCTGGTTTAAGAATGCTTGCGTTGTTGTTCATTAGACTTCATTGCAATCGCGTGTCTGGCCGGTCACTCTGAGCTCCGCTGACGAGACCTAACAAGGTCGAAACAGCTGGCTGTCCGAAGATTGAGTAGATCATCTACCTATGTTGGACGATTGACAGCATGTTACAAGGCAAATGCACACTGTTTTCGAGAATAGGCGGCTCCTGACTACAACCATAAACCAACGGTTGGCAGAGTCAGGTCCGGTTAAAATGGTTGTAGTCGGGAACACTGTTCACAACACAGTGTGTCCTCCACACACATGCCATCCTCTATTTACATGTACATGTATGTACTGACCTGCTCTGTCGTCGAGGTCGTTTAGCTTGCCATCCCTCTCCAAGACCTTGTTGACATTGTCCTTCATGATGGCCGTCACCTGTTTGCAGCAAAGCAGAACAAAGCTACCCGTTGAGATCACATCAGCACTCACTGCAGTGTCATTTGTCCTAGGGCCGGACAGCACCCATGGGCAAGCATTGGAGACACAGGGGTCTTGGCTCGGAGAGGACCACATTTCCAACCACCCTGGAATGAGAGAATGACTGAAAACTCTACCACAGCTCTTTGTTATCACATAGAGGTCATGTGTTCGCACTATAAAATTAGAAGAAGTAAAGGTGCCAAATGCCTTCTCGGCTGTGAAGCCGCTCACCCTTCACAGCTACCCGGCGCTTGGAAACTGAACTGCTGCTCAAGTTCTGCTGATCTTACTTCAATACAATTATGTACATGTTTCCGCGGCCACCTGTATCACTAAGTGTGAAATGCATGTCCGTTGCATTTCCTGTATGAGTACAGGTTTGCCTGATCAATGTAACGAATGCTGCTCAGGGTTCTGCAGTTTTTTTTCTTATTCTAAGAACAATGTGCAAGGGCAATGGTCCACTTTCAAGTATCCCAGTAAATTGATCACAGCGATACATGATGTGCCTTCGCTGAATGTGCAAACACCCGTGTTCTGTGAAACTTATGCTCACGGTACAGTCTACCTGCGAGCGAATACACGGGCTCTTCCGGCTCTTCCGGTATTGCCCGTGTACGCACTCGCAGTCACAGTAGGCTGTACAGTAATAGCACACTTTCTATGACCACCAAACATCTACATGTCAGACTTGTTACAGTTATGTCCCAGTGTGTTATGGAGATGTGTGGCCGCCTCAACTAACTTCCTGAGGAAATGCAATGCAGAAGTAGAATAACCCAGGACTGGGGAATGTAGAGTACAAGATGTGCTTGCTCCCATACCTCATTGACTTCACCCTGGGTTCGCTCAAGCCGTGAAGACCTGTTCAGTGGTGAACACACGCACACACATACATAGTGGCATACACACACACACACCTGTACATTTTAGTCGCATGAATTTTGCGTCATATTTGCGCGATTAGCGTAGTGTATAACAAAATCATCGCTATCTTCGTGCGCTACCGCTAGGCGCTGAATAATGACAGCGGATCGCATTACTATTACACGTACAAGGCAACGATGAGCTCCACATAATTATATGATGTGGCATTGCTTACATGATAGCAGAGGGAATTGACAGCGCTAGCACCAACGTTCAGCTGTACTCGTTTTGGCAATTAGGCCTCAACGGTGTGATTTTTTTACGGCTCTTGCAAGCGCCTGCTGCAGAGGAAACGACTGACACGGTCACCACACAACCAGCTCTACTTGCCCAGGCTCAGAAGAGCGGGAGTATACTCTACGAGAAACCCTGAAGCACTGCCGAACAACCCACAATAGGTGGCAGAGAGAGACTGAGAAAATGATCGGCTACAGAAAAGAAGAGTTGTTGCAAATGCAAGCAGCACACTTGCCAGGCCGGAAAGAGAAAATCCACTGACGGCACCTTGACCATGTTGACGTGCGTGCTGCCATGCACAAAAAACATACAGTCATGTACAGCACTTGTACTTTGCAGTCAGTTAGATCGACAAGCGCATACATGTACAATGAAACACACTGTGAATTGTGATTCGACTGTCGATCGACTTTGCCATCTATCGTAAACAATAATGAATGATCGATACTGAGCGTAGAATCTAAGAATGATACTTGAGTTAGTCAGTGACCGTGACCGATCTAGACACTAGACAGACTGCCACTGTGCCACTGCCAGGCGGAGTTTGTGCACTGGTGCTGTAGTGTGTAGCTGTTTAGGTCTACTCATACTACATTACTAGTCATAGTAACGACATTACGTAGACCAGAGTGATATAAAACTACTAGCAGCACCCCCGCCAGCGTTGCCTGGCCGAATGTGGCATGCGGGTGAAGCAAGTACATGAACAGCACACGTGCTCAGCACGTGGTGGTGGCCAGACCGCGCGCTGAAGTCCTGGTGAGGGAGGTTCTTCATCGTTGGAAGGAGAAGGAGGGACGTCTATTACGCCTTCGGGAGGCTGGTCAGGGTTGTCCATCACCTGGTGGCGTATGAAGCGGCTCAAAAAATTCAAAAACTTACTAGTCCTGCGGCCCAAATCTAAAAGACGTTGTTTTGCAAGTCCCGTTTCAGTCTCAAGCAGACAACCTGAGCTTTGCATGGGTGGAAAGACCATGTCCTAGGGATGTCGAAACGGCTTGTTGTCATGTCCAGAACTAGGGCATAAGCTGGGGAGAACCAATTTTAGGTTTCGTTACGGAAGTCGTCATTTTACGTTATTTTACGACTCCTTGATTGAAATTGGCAGCATGTGATACGATATTTTATTGAAAATTAGTGCAGTCGATGTGAATTTGTTCTTGTATTTGGATGATTCGTAGATCATGGTTGCCCTTTGCCGAGCGTTCATTTCCTATTGATGGTGATTAGAGATGGCACAGATTGATTTGTTGTAAAATTCGACCAAAATCACCCCCAAACATGGATCTTTCGTATGAGAGGATTTCATTTATTGGGACACTATCTCGACAACACCAGCGGAAGAGAGCTAGCACGAGCGAAGCAAAGGACACCGGAAAACGGCAGAGTGATAGCGATCATAAGCTGATCTTAGCAAACGAGCGATATGGAAGATGTTGTAAATAATAGCGCAGTAGTGTATTTGTCATTTGCTGCAGAGTTGAAAAGTACAATTCAAATTCAAATCAATTCAAAAACTTCAATAGTGCGGTCCACTAGCCTTAGCTTTCAGACTCACTGTCCGATTCACAGTCGGACTTACAGTCCAATCCACTATCGAAACTGCCTTCACCCTCATCATGACATTGTGTGCATGCGCGCGCGCGCACACACACACATGTACACACACCGCACAACACATGACATTGTGCGCGCGCGCTCGCACACACACATACACAAAACCCACACGCACGCACACACACACCGCACAACACATGGCATTGTGTGTGCGCGTCCGCGCGCGCACACACTCACACACCACATAGCACGCTAGAGATCAGCAAGAACCTGCTGCGACCGTGGTTGTGATGGCGCTGTAGAAGACACCGCAGCCGCCACTGGTTGCCTCGCACCCGAGGTTGTAGTCAAAGCCGTACTAGCCGACACATCTGTATTGGAGGCTGATGTAGTACCCAGAGATGAAACGGATCCACTGGTGTTCACCTGACGCGGCGGAGTAGCGGATCCTTTGAAGCCGAAATGAATGGGCAACACGACATTGGCGGGGACAAGCCCAGCGGATATCGCAGCGGGCCTATCGTAACTCCTGGCAGTGAGCCTATCGTAATTCCTGGCAGTGGGCCCGTCGTAACTCCTGGCATTGGGCCCGTTCTCTTGCCGGACACTGGGGTGCGCAGTGGACGTGGATGCGGGCAGGAAATCTGCGGCGACCGGCTGGACTGGGATGGTTGGAGCCGGGCCAGGTGCGTACTAGTATGACTGTTCGGCAATGACTGGGTATTACCGGCCATCGGACCGTTTGCAGACGACACAGACAAGTGGTTGCTCCGTGAAGAGTGCGCCCGTATACCCATGCCACTTACCATACATGTCAATTGCTGAAGGAAACACACAGTTCAAACACAAAACGCAAATGAAACACGCCAATGAAATTCGATCCTTAAACAAGTCAAGTTCGCATGTCCGCGTTATCACGGGCTATACAATTGTGTTTAGAAAACAACCAGTTTATAATTCTGTCTCTTCTTGCATAAAGTCAGCCTAGAATACTGACGTCAGCTTTGGACATTACTCTGACTTGGACCACAAGCCCTGATTTATTCTGACCTACATGTGTACCGTGTGAAGTAGCGCGAGAGCCAAGCTGGTCGTAATAATACGTGTAACAGCCACGAACGTAGTTCAACCAAAGAAGACTACCACATTACATGAGCATGAACACTTGCATTGCATTTAATACATTCCTATGTTGTAGATGTCAGGCACTGTAGTGTTCACGTCTACATACACATTGTGGCATTCCTTGGCCACCCAGACATTCATGATAGTAGCGCATCGTGGTATGTTATGCATGCAGCATGTGCCGTTTCCCGAGCGCGCGTATGAAATGAACTTAGCGGCTTTTAGTTGCTGTGCATGAGTTGAGTCTGGACTCATGATCTGGTGTGTACATGCAATCATGTGATCTTGTAGTTGAGCGTATGTGTTATTTGGATTTCCTTGGTCATGACCAAACAATAAAACATGATCAAATTATTTCTACACATTCAACAATGCCAAGAACTCACCTGGTCCCCAAGTAGCTCATTATCTTCTTTTTCAGCATGAAAGTTGGATACTAAGGCAGAGTGTGATGGTCGGCCAAGCTGGTGCCGTTTGCAGTTATTGTACTTATCCGTGAGAAGCTTCATGGGCAAGGCCCTTGCAGACTTCAACTCGGACTGTATATACAGCACCAGGCTGTCAAATGTTTCGTAGGCCGACGGCTGGTCACTCCCTTTGCCACTTCGTTGCCGGTGCATAGTGGCCAGGTGGGTGAAGGCACTGTAGCATGCTCCGACGTTGATAGTGGATTTCCGCTGCAACGCAATCTGGGCCATTCTGGAGCGAAAGCCAAAATTCTTGCGTTGTTCTCCAACTCTGCTAGATGCACATGTCATGAGGCACAAGTCTGCAGATGTGGATTCAATCATTGTACATCTCTCCTTGTTCTACGCTTTGCTGGTACATGGTGTCCCATCATCACATACATGTATCTCCTCTAATTCAGAATGGCTTGAAAAGTCATGGCCACGTCCAAGTGGCAGCCGACCCAGCAACGTTTTGTTAGTGTATGTACTGTAGCACTTGCGGTGGTACCATCCGCGGACGCTCTCCTCGGTGCAGTGGCTCTCGCACAAGAAGGTATAGCTCGTCCTGCCTGCATTTAGCAGCTTCAAACAAAGTTTCCCAACTCTGCAAAGTAAATCGGGTTTGCTTTTCCTGCGATGCATTGAACGCAATGGCACAAGCAAAATTCCCGCGATACAACGCCATTCCCAGGACGAGGCCTAAGAAGCTCCACGGCCTCTTCCTCCATCATGTCAAAAGGTGTCTACCATGCTGTGAGCGGTGGGCAGGAGGCACTCAAACAGCGCGAAACGCAACTACTATGCAACTACCAAACGAAAATGCAATTCTACATTTCAAAGAGTATCCTGTCGGTGTCGTCGTCATCTTCAAAAATTTGAAAAAGGCGCTCCTTTCCGTGAACTGTGCACCCCCAGATGGTGCGCAGTATCGCCGATGAGAGCGGAGAAATCGGCTTCTCCTGAGCTTCTGCCCTAACTCTGAAGATGACAACAAGCGGAATCCAGGTCAGGTATACATACTTTAGGCCGTAGTGAAGAACCCAGGTTGTCTGCTTGAGACTGAAACGGAATTTATTTTTGAAGTTTGGGCCGCTGGACTATACGAACAAAAGTGCGATGCGCTCTTCACTGCAGATCAGATGCAGAGTGCAGTCAGTGCAGATCTTTTGTATCCTTTTGTTGCAGATGTTTCTATTTGCAGAGAACGGTTCACGTGGTCCGCAGCGCTTGTGCGGCTGCTAGTGCTACCTATGGCCTAGGCTAGGTGGCTACATGATTCGCACGCTTCGCGTGCTGTGCTTCTGCGCGCGGCTGCTACTGCTACTCGTACTGATCGTGTCTGCTATAAGTATAAGTATAAGCGCTACCACCGTAGAAATAAAAATCCGAAGGAAATACGACAATTTTACTGCGTCTGTAGCTTGTGTTGTAGCGCACCCATGTTCTGAATTCCTGCTGGGTGGGTCAAGCCAGACTCTCTTCCCTGTTCCATCGCCTCTCCAAAAGTATATTCTGACATTGTTGAGATTTACAGCTACAGATGAGAAATTGCACACCTGTCAAATCGTTTCTGATTCGAGCACCCGGCCGGGTCTACGTACGTACCTACACTGTTCGCACGCTTCGCGTGCTCAGCACGTGGTGGTGGCTACACGATTCGAACGCTTCGCGTGCTCAGTGCTTCTGTGGCTGCTTCCGCTAGCTACACGACTCGCACGCTTCGCGTGCTCAGTGCTTCTGCGGCCGCTAGCTACACGGTGCTACACTGTTCGCACGCTTCGCGTGCTCAGGGCAGCGCTGCTCCGCAGCGCTTCAGCATGACACAAAAACACACGTCACAGGTGCCTCTTCTTTATAAGGAGCGTGACACACACACACACACACACACAGACACACGTCACAGGTGCCTCTCTTTTATAAGTAAAGATCAAGCCTTGATTGTCCTTGTTGTTCTGTAGTGTATTAAAAGTTATAAATTATAGTACTGTTTATAAGTACAGTCATGTATTTCTTCTGAATTCGGTATCAGTCTGGCATTGCATCATACTATTGACTATTGTGCACTTTAGTGTACAATCATGTAGATGTACATACATGTACATGTACTACCGAGTACCGGGTAGTAATTTATTATTATAGCCATGCCGAATGTTATCACGTTAGCGCAGTGTTACACGTAGTGGAGAACCATCATGACACATCATGACATGTGCTGCTATGGCATCATGGTGGCGGTTTTTTTCTTCTTTTTTTTTCTACAAAATCCACATATCTCCAGACTGTGACTGGGGTGAATGTTTAGTTTATGGACTTGACCTCTGAGTGATCCCAGGGACTCTGGGAATTTTCTCATGGGCAACAACTGCGCACACAGAGACAGGGCCTTGCACTGTGCGTCAGTGTTTCATACTTGCAAGTAACATTTTGAGATCGACGCTGAACAAACTTTCGGATCCCCCACCCCCCCCCCCCCCCCCCCCCCTCTTTGGACCAAAAAGGAAAGATTGAAAATTCAAATGAGATACATGTACATGTATATTGTATTCCGGGAGTACGTGCTTCGCATTCGGACACATACCCCTTGACTGTAGCACTTCCAATCTCAGAAGGCAAAGAAACGATGGTAGAGAGTAGGATTCATCTTGCAGCCGGCAGGCACCGCAATCAGTCGAACAACTTTACAATTACATCAACATCAACAACATAATTTTAAAAGATAAAAAATATAATGACCTAGATCGAGAACACTAAGTCTTATACATGGAGACACAGTAGCAACCACAGCAGCCGTAAACTGAAGTAGACTGCCGTCAGCCAGAGGATAGCAAAGGACAGTCTGATCCGGCCAAGCATTCTTATCTATGACAAGATAGCAGCAGAACAGGCCGACAAGTCTGGTACCATGCACTGGCCGATTTTGGGCTACGCTTCAGCCTGGTCAACTCTGAATAGACAAATTCCATTATTCAGCCAATGTTCCGGTACTACCTAGGGACAATCATGAGCGAAGTTACAGGACTGGTTCACAAAAAAACAGTCCTTTAAAAAGAGCATGGCGGAGCTGCGTTGCAATGTGTGGGAAGCTTGCTCCATTCACAGTGGGTGAGTTTCAAGAAAAAAAACTGTACACATGTGCCCCTCCCTCGTCAGTGAGTGAGTGAGTGAGTGAGTGAGTGAGTGAATGACCAAATGAGAGAAAGAGAGAGAGAGAGAACTGGAGAGATAATTATACTACAAAAATCCAATATAAAAATAAATTGATTGAGTAAACAGGTAAAGTCACTGCCATCGCCAGCTCGAGTCGACTGATCACAATAAGATAACGTTCAAAAAGGAAAGTACAGCGGCATGCTGCTACACTAAGACGACACAAAAGTGAAGAACGGCAAAGCTTATAACGATAATGTGAAGACTCTAACATGACTACATTACGAAAACTTCCAGATGAGCACAGCGATGATAGTGATAAGGACCACAGCCACAACACCAATGATAATCCACATCTGCAGTGCGATAATATTATCATACACGGAGAAAGGCGGCATTAGAACAACTTCCAGTACACTCCGTGTGTGACTCAAGCATCCAGTGATATTTCTAGAAGACCACTACAAAACGTCACTAGTGCACATCTACAGCAGTAGATGGCATACAAATGTCTATATCGTGGTCTACCCTATTGAAACTTTGAACGAGAGCACGGAGAACATAGTGATTTAACACTTCCTCTGTAGCTAAAACTAGGTTCACTGTCCGTTATGTCCGTACAGAAAACAAGCTACTAGTAAGCCTCAAAAAATGTGCAGCTGGGGGACTTCGAAGGAGATGTAATGCCACTGGAGATCTTCATTCCTGACTTGCCCATAGTTCTTCCTTGCTGTTTTCCCTCACCACGTCCCATCCTACATTATTTGGTTCTACGTTTAATGATCGCCGATCTCACAAAGGCCAAAGAGCAGTACTTCTGGTGTGGGTGATGCAGTCCAACCCTGGTGAGTCACCTCACACCCTGGCTTGTCAACAGCCTGATGCGGACAGGAAGGGACGTGAGCCAAAGCCCGCCAAGGTCACTGTAACAGCCCTTGGGCACTGGGTGGATCGGTTGCCAATTGCCAGAACGCAGGTATGTTTACTACGGTTGGCTGTCTTGGTCGGAATCGGCGGGGGGTTGGGTAGTCCACAGCACTGTGCTACATGCCAGAGCAGTGACACTCTGGGACTTCAGTGACACTCTGGGACTTCAGTGACACTCTGGGACTTTCCGTAGAGTAAACACGACAAATTGTCACCGATCAGTTTGCTGACCTGCACCATTTTATCGTCTGCGGATGACCACGGATAGGTACCTCATGCCCTGATGCTGAAACAGGGAGCACCTGGTAATCTCACCCAGACAACCATGTCAGCATGCTCCATTTCGGACATAGAACTTGCTATGACTTAGTCGGTAGCACAAAGCACTGTGGTGTACCTGAGTTCACACATCAGTGGAGCCAGAGAATTTCTGACATGCCGGTACAACTTGTACCGGCACCAAATTCCGAATGCCAGCTACATGTACTCGTAACAAATGTATCTGTGCAGCAGGGGTGGGGTACGACTGTGCCTTCCGACATGGCATTGCTGCCAATCCGTCCTTCCGTTGGGACACGGCGCACCACACATCGTACCGCAACATTTGATGCCCATGCTATGCTCCCTATAAGGAAAGTAACATCCGTGGCACTATCACACTATCACACTACTAGCACACTAGCACACTATCACACTATCACACAAGCACACTATCACACAAGCACACTATCACACAAGCACACTACTAGCACAAAGCAAGAAATGCCTTCAACTTACTTTGAAGTTCTTCCACCACATTCTTCGCTTCAGCCGCGTGGCAGTCCGCTCAAACTGGTTAGCACCAACCTGCAGGTTTTCTAAATATCCAAGAGTCACACAAGGCAGAGAGACGACATGCATGAATACCTCAAAGATATAAAAGCATTGCCATGTGTAAATATACAGGTGTGAAGCCAGAGGAGATTGAACAGTAACGTAACAATAGTCAATGGTAAACTGGCACAGTCCACTTTAACGTTATAATAATTATAACAGTAATCTTGAATTCTAGAACATGGCAACGAGATTCACCGGGAACAACGGATCAAAGGTGCATCACAGCCACCTCAAATCAAGGCCTTGACACAGTGCCAAAGAATTCATCACTTCTCCCTTCGTGTCTGCCCTGGCCGGAAACTGAGAGCCAGCAGAGTATCGGGTCAAGCCACCACAAAGAAGTGTGAGGTGCCCGCATGGTTGGAAACTTCTTGGCATACTATGACCTTTGGCCTGTCACAGTAGGTTACAAACACCTGGTTCCCAGTACTTTGCTACATAAGTGCAGACCTGCTCTGTCGTCCAGATCAGTGAGCTTTTGATCTCTCTCCAGGACTTTGTCGACGTTAGTGCGCATGATTCCCATCACCTGCGAGGAAGAAGATGACACGCACAGTCAGACAATCTTCACACACCACTGTACAGGAGGGTGCAAGTGGTTCAAATCCACTGAGTAGCCGTTAGACAATGTCGGCTGGGTACCAGACCATGCAACCCTTTCTGTGCATGCACATTTTGTATCGGATGTGAAAGATACTAAGGGGTAGGAGCAAACGTTTTTTTGTCATCCCTGATACGAACATCCTTCATTTAGGGAGGGGGAGGAGTGTGAGCCAAGGCTGCAAGTAGTCGACCAGCACTATACATATTCATGCACGCGACTTGCATCGTCCTGCATAGCAAGCTACTTGAAGTACATTCATTTCGAGAGGAGGAGGGGGGAGAGAGTCCGAGTACGAAAATGGACGATGTTCATTTCAGGGGCAACAAAAAAACTTTTGCGGCGACCCCTAAACATTGTCACAAGTGGAGCCTCCACGTGAAGCAGGAGAGAGGAAGTCCGTACTCCAAGTATCACACTAAAAGCAATCATCTGGTAACCGTTACCCGGTGATTGCTTAGAGTGTGTTGTAGCACATTTTTCCTTTCTCCTGTTGCATGTGCATACATGTACGCATGGTCCATGCGCGCATGTGTGTGTGTGTATGTGTGTGTGAGTGCACGCACGCGCGTGTGTGTGCAGTCGACTCCACTCATCTCGCACATAGCGAATTTCGTGATTTTAGTGAACCGTTGTGCATGTCCCTGTTCGAATCCACACAAAATTGCCTCTTTATAGCGAACCATTTTCGTTTATAACAAACCACATCTTGAAGGACTACATGTACATGCAAACCAAGTGCACTCATACAGCCATTGGCATTCACACAGTCATGTGCCACATGCCAGTCATCACTCAGTGCTGCTTGAACAGTGTATTATGTGAGTGCATTTCTGTTATAATGAACTTTGGCTATAATTTTAATAGGGGTGAAACAATTATACCGAGTACTCGAGTACTCGCTCGGTTTTTTCTAAAATAATCGTACTCGCAATAAATCAGAGTACTCGTTCATACATGGTACATGCATTTACTACAGAAATCTGCAGTTTCAGGGCAGCAGTCGGCAGATGGTGATGTGCAGACTGTGTGGTGAACGTTTGTTCACGAGTAGAGAGAGCCCAAATGACCCACCAACCAATATACCCGAGAAAAATGACTGCTAGTCGGTTCAATCAGGGTTGTATCATGTTATTTTAAAGCCATTGGTGTGCAGTTTTTAGGAGATGAAAAATACTCGAATATTCGATCGGAGAAAATCAGAGTACTCGAACTCGGGATCTCAGTGCCAAGTTTCACCCCTAGCTATAAACAACTAATTCTCCTGCACAATGATGTTCGTTATACTATAGTACTCAGGAGTCTTCTGTATGTGCGCTTGTGTATATGTGTGCAACAGTTGTACATGCAGCATGTATGGATGGAGCACGGATGTGTTTCTTCGACACCTTCGAACAAGACTGTTCACAATACGCATATACGATGCCATGGCGTATCTGGTTCAGTTAGAGACCACAACAAGAGAGGTTTTCCACTCACGGGCCCTCACTGTCTTTGGTCGACGTGGTTCTTCGTTCGTGTACATGACAAATCTCCACGGAATGTGTACGATGACACGGGATACCAAACCCAGGCATTATTCTGTCACAATGCGCTCAAGTTATCACTGGATACGCATGTGAGCTCAGCCTACAGTGCACGCACTAAACACATGTAGGGAATCGACGAGCACTAGCGCAGCAACTCTGTCACCCAGCCCTAATTGAAAACTGTTACAGAAATATGTAGCACAGCACCGGGGGGGGGGGGGGGGGGGGGGGGTATCGGCAGTGCATGTACAAGTAGTAAAAAATAAAAATAAAAAATAAAAATAAAAATGTACAAGTAGTTAGCACATCACGTGAATGTCTGGTGGAGCACACCATGTGAAGGTCTGGTGCAGCACACACCATGTGAAGGCTATGCATCACCAGCTCCGTTATGCTTTGGTCACATGGTAAAATTGTTATATGAACACGCAATGTATCCCTTAGCCTGCACATGCACAATCAAGGCCATGAGATCCCTGCCTCACCAAACATACCACCAACTAATACTAGTACATGTGGCTATACACGTTTGGTACAACGTACTCAACATCTTGGGGTTCGCTACCGTATCACTAAAAGCTAGCAGAGTCTCCCAGGAGAGCAAACGGCGCTTGCCTGATGCAGTGCATCCATCGAGCCATGATGAGGAAAAGAAATTTACTAATTCGGAGACCAGGAACAGTTTCATGGCGTTTCACGTAATCTTAGTTTGCTTACCTCGTCCACCTGATTCTGGGTGTCTTGCAATTTCTTATTCCTGTGATCGTAAACGCGACAGCAGATGCACAAAATACAGTTGGAGCCGAAATCAAACAAGCTCATTCACTCGCTCACTCACTCAAAAATGTGCGCGCGCACGCGCGTGCACACACACACACACAAATGCATGCACGCACACTCACACACCATTTGACGCCCATCACCGGAGGCAATGATAGCTATGCTACAGCAGAAGCCATAGCACACACACACACACACACACACACACACACACACACACACCACCACCACCACACACACACACACACACACACACACACACACTCGCACACGCACACGCACACACACACACACACACACACACACACACACACCTTAACCCCCATCGGATTCACGCTAGCTATTAGCTACACATTATTAAAGGGGAAGTTAAGGCAAAATTAAAATTTCACCAGTTGTAGTCTTCGGGGTGCTGAGTCGAATGGTCGTGGTCTGAGGAAGCTGAGACGCTCCCTTCCTACTTGAATCCCAATCGAACTCGCGCACTTCCACCGAAACTGGGTGACTGCGCCCTACTAGATGGGGATTTTGTATGCAAAATGTCACTAAAAGCGCCATTTCGTTCTTATAAAAGCACGGATGACCGCGATTGGCCCATATGTTGCAGTCTTTTGGACGCTGAGTTGATTGGTTTGGTCCGAAAAGGCTGCGATGCAGCGTTCCTCCTTTATTCCCAATCGAACATGGTTGAGCAAGCGGTCACGTGCTCCTGCGTACACCAGTCACCTGGTCACCGTGCCTGCAGGGTACACCTTACTAGCCTGTTTGACCTTTTTTGGGTGCAGTCCTGTCACTCGAGTTGAACTCGAGTTGAACCTTGGTGTGAAAGTTGTCGCCTGCTGGCGTGGTGACCAGGTGATTTGGGCACCCAGGAGCACGTGACCACTTGCTCAACCATGTTCGATTGGAAATAAAGGAGGAACGCTGCATCGCAGCCTTTTCGGACCAAAACCAATCAACTCAGCGTCCAAAGACTGCAACATATGGGCCAATCGCGGTCATCCGTGCTTTATAAGAACGAAATGGCGCTTTTAGTGACATTTTGCATACAAATCCCTAACTTGCATACAAATCCCTAACTTCATGGGCACAGCTTGCAAAGTTGCCAAAGGTCCATTGCTTTACACAGTACAGCAGCACATCGATTACCGGAACATTGCGGAAGGTTCGCACTCTATCACTGCTAAAGATTTGTTGTTCGCACCATGCGACTATCCCTCTATGCACAAAAGCATTCAATTTCTTGCACTTAGATACCAGCTATACTCACTGAGACATGTTGATCGTTGTCCTCAATCGAATTGATTATTGAGAAAATATGCACTCCGGTTCTTCGTCCGCCGTGACCCAAAATCCCACAGTAAGCAACTTTTGGAACTGTAGAACTTGAAACCAAGTGCAACTCTCCTTTGGGTGAGCGAAGTAAAACGAGGACAGTACTTGCAGCTAGCCCTGCTAACTATTACTACAGATAGGCAGCTGAACACTTGGAGTTGAACTGTACCAGCGATCACCAAATAGTCAGCAAAATGCGACGATAATGAAAGATGTTAGTTGGATCTTCCTGGACTTCGATCGCTAGGTATGCGTCATGTCTCATGATAGCGAGATCGCCGACTGCATAGTGCATGCATGCATGCAGCCGCCTAGCTAGGGAAATCTGAGACACCCACTTTTTACTCAGCTCAGATGTAGATCTACGTATGAGTACTGATGATTATGTCATGCAGCTGCAGCATGATTTTTTGAGACTGAGTTCGACTTTTTCGTAACTCTTACTGTTACTTAGTTACGTCTCAAGATTTTTCAAAACGCGTGCAGATCTAGCCGCCACCATGGTTACCATCTTGACAGTCATCACCATGATCACTGTCATCACTGGTCA